GGTCATTACATAGGGACTCGTTGAGTATAATTGTAGTGTAGAAGTGGGTTGCATTAGTCTGTCTTTATGTCGTAAGTTGTATTGTACAGGAATTTTACTGCGCTTTTGATAAAGCCACGGATTTTTTCGAACAAATTTACATATTTCATATATATATAAACTTGGTATATTTAGCTTTTTAAAGTGGGGTTTACAGCTATCTGTTTGATTTATATTAACTAGGATTCTTATAAGCTTTTTTTGTAGAGTAAAAATTGCAGGAGCACCTGTGCTATTCCCCCAGAGAATCAATCCGTAGTTAAGCCATGCAAAAGAATAGGCATAGTATACTGCAAGGGCAGTTTTCAAGTCAGTAGATTTTTTAATTTCATTGAGTGCATATGTGAAACGCGATATTTTACTACTTATTTTTTGTGTATGTTTTTTTCCAATTGATGTGTGTGTCTATGTCTATTCCTAGTAATGTAAATTCTCTTGTAACTTCAAGTTGTATATCTCTGTAGAAAAAGTTGAAATCTAAGGGATTTTTTTGGCGCGGGTGAAAGATCATAATTTTAGTTTTTGAGAAGTTTAATTCTAAATTGTGCTTGCTCATCCATTCGGTAATGCGGTCTAATGTAGAGGTGATCTTATTACTTAAATGGACACTATTTTCAGACGGTATTAAAATTGATATATCGTCTGCAAACAAAACGCAATGGTCAGCTGTAATTTTGGGGAGATCGTTTATATATATATCAGAAATAGCAAACACCCAAGCACACTGCCTTGAGGTATAGATGAGTTTAAGGTCGTACTATTTGAGTGGACGTGTTCAAATTCCTGTTTTTTTAGTTTGATTATTGTTTTTTTAGTTCATCAAAATGGTTAACTTCTACATATTGTACCCTATCTTTTAAATATGAAGTAAACCACTTATGCGCTACTCCTCGTACTCCAATACCGTACAGCTTCTCAAGAAGTATTTCATGCTGTACTCTATGGTACGCCTTTGACATATCCAGAAATAAGCCTACTGGATACGATTTATTGTTTAATATGGAAAGAGCTTCTTGGATAAATTTGTAGACTGCTAATGTTGTGGATCTTTTTCTACGAAAACCATTTTGGGCATCGTTAAATATTTTATATTTTTCGCAAAATGAGTATACGCGAACACACATTGCTTTCTCATAAATTTTTGAAATTGTAGATAGTACAGTAATGGGGCGGTAATTGCTTGGGTCTGATCTACAATTTTTCTTATAGATGAGTTTGATTATACCTTTCTTTAACAAATCTGGGAAAATACCTTCTTCGAATGACTGATTTATCAATATAGTTAAAGGGAAAGTTAATTCATTTGCACACTGTCGTATTAGTGCTGGTGGTAGTTCATCAAATCCGTAGCTGTTCTTATTTTTTAGATTTCTTATTATTTTGTGTATTTCTTGATAGGTTACCGGTGCTAGAAACATTGTGTTTTCTGTAGGATTAATCACAGGGCAACCGTTTGATTCAGTATTTCCATTTGGCTGGGAGACATTTCCCTTACTAATTTTTGCAAAATAATCATTGAATATGTTAGCGATTCGTTTTGGTTCCGAGATTATACTGTCATGTATTTTTAAAGTTATATTGTTATATTTATTTTTAGTTTTTTTATTTGTTCTTTCTTTAATAATTTTCCACATCGTTTTTACTTTGTTATTTGATTTTTTTTAGCTTATTTATGTAGTTTAATTTTTTTTGCCGTTGTTACTAGCCTCTTAAGTATTTTTTCGTATCTTTTATAATAAGATTTAATTACGTCGCTTTTAATTTTTGAAGTTAGTATTTTTAATAATCTTTTATTTTTGCAGCACAGTTTGATTCCAGTTGTTAGCCAATATTTTTTGTCGTTTGACTGTAGTTTAATACTTTTTTTAGGTATAGTTTCATTTAAGATATTAGTTAGTGTGTTTTGGAATGTCGTATAGTTTTCGTTTACAGTTTTATTATGAAGTATAATTTTTTGCCAAATTATAGTTCTTAATTTCTCTTTAAATTTATGGATATTTTTATTCTTGTAGGATCTTTTTTTCACTTTATAGATTTGTTTATTTTTTTGGAGGTTTATTTTAATTTTTATGCTTGTTCCTTTATGGCCTGAGAACCCTAAATCCTCTACTGTAGTTAAGGAGTATATATAATAAAAGTTTGTAAATATGAGATCTAAACATGAGAGATGGTGTGTACGTTCCTTTATGTGTTGAGTAAGATTGTGTTCTAGCATAAGGTTTAAAAATTCGTTTGCTTCTACACTGTTATTTAAAACGTCTATATTAAAATCTCCACCTAATATTATATTTAGTTTTGAATATTTATTTGTGATAAAGTTTAAAATAAGTTTTAGTTGTTTATAAAATACGTCTGTCTCTCTTCCGTTCCAATACATTACTACTAATAGAATACATTCATTTGGTAGTTCAGTTGCACAGACTTCTAGGACGTATTCGATCGACATATTCGTAATATCGCTTCTGTCTATACACTTAATTTGTTCCTGTAGCAGTATACAGACACCGCCACCTCTTCGATCTTTTCTGCAAAACGATGATGCTACTTGGTATTTATTTATGTTTATAAGATCCAGTTTTCCTTGATTTAGCCAGGTTTCCGATATACAAACTGCTTGATAAGTAGGGTCCTGTTCAAGGAATGCTTCAAGAATATGTTGCTTATTGTTAAGGCTTTGTATGTTTTGGAAAAGAACCTTACATGGTAAATCTTTGGTTTCGAAAAGTTTTGTTTTCTTGATTGGTGTTATATCCTGATGTGTTATTATTCTTGCGTGTAGTGTTTGTTTTCTTGTCGTCTTCAAATACCTGTTGTTTCCCGTCTATTATTAGAGTGTTGTTACGTATTACCGCATGTCTTCCATTTCTTCTCGCTTCAAGTAAAATTTCGTGAATTCTCTTTCTTTCTTTTCTGCCGGCTTCATCGAGGTATTCAGAGATTCTTAATCCGGTATTTTTCAGGAAAGCAGTATTTTGTACAAGGTATTTTGTCATTCTCTTGCTAATTAGTTCTATCATTACGGGCCGGCGGTTACCTCTCTTTCCTAGTGGAAATAGGTCCTCTATGTATCCTGTCAAATCTACGTTATATAAATCATAGAAAATTTTTAGTATGCGGTTGTTGAGACTGTGTTCATCTTCTCCAAATTTCATTTAAGCCGTATAAAACTAATTTTTTGCTGTGATCGTAGATAACTGGGTTATTGTGCTGAATCGGTGGATTTTCATCAATTTTGTTTGAAAGTTGCTGTATTTGTTTTTCTAGTTCATTTTTCTGGTCTTCGAGTTTTTGTATTTTCGTGTCCATAACGTTTAAATTGGTTATTATTTTTTCTTGGTCTGATTTTAGGTTTATAATTTCCTGTACAAATTAGTTTTTTAGTTGTTTCAGAGCTTGGGATATTTTATTTTCAATTGTATTTGATATTTCTCCAACTATTTGGTGTTTTATAGCTTCTAGCTTAGAATCTAATTTTTCATCAAAAAAATCTGCGAGTTCTTTCATATTACATGTTATTGATGTCAAGGGTGTGTTTTCGAGGTTCAGATTTTGTTTTTGTGTATCTCCCATTTGACTCTGGTCAGAGTCGGAGTCGGAGATTGCAGTTGAGTGGACACTCCTCACAGGTGTGTTGTCATTTTTACTCCTTTTTGTTACATTTTTACATTCGTGACATTGCCAATTTGTATCATAGTGATTCCAGTTCTCTTTGTACTGTGTTGAGCTTATATTTAAGCATATGTAGTGGTAAACTTTTTTGCAAGAACAGCATTTTAATCTTTCTGCGATATTAACACGTTTTGTGCACGCTATGCAATTGATCTTTGTATTCGGGTATTGCCCTCTAGTGAAAAAAAGAAGGTACCAATCGCTTTCTATGGCCTAATTTAGATAATCTTAGTAATGTTCTTATTATTGATAGGTTTATCAATTAATTTATCTCTCGATCTCTTATGCGGGATTTTGCTGTCTAATTAATATTAGGTAGGTAGATACGATATAAATTACGTTATGTATAAAAATAATAATAGTATATAAAATCTTGTGTATTTCTGAATGTTATGGTAATGGTAATGCCCTCTGGTGGTGAGTTTGTATAATTTGTTCGTATTTGATCAAAATTCTTTCGTATCTAATAGATTACTGTGCCATCTATCGTCGGATTTCCAATCATTTGCACGTAACCAATCTTATTTCAATGGCAGATTATCCAAAGAGGGTAATAAATGATTAATCAAGTCCTCTAGCGACATCTATTATTGGCAAGCACACAAGAATGTATGTAACGGATAATTTGAATTTTTAAATCATATACTGAACAGAGTTTTATTACTAAATTACTTATCTCTTATTCCGGTTGATTCTTCTTTGCTTTTGACCGCAGAAGACAAACTCCAAACAAACTTTTTGCGGTTTAAAGACACTTCTAAGAGAATTATCCTTCTCGGTTAAGGGTTAGTAAATGATTGTATTTATCTTCGTATTAAGTCTCTTTTACTCAGAGATAACGATATCACTTGTTTATTGCACTTTTTTACTTGTTATACACTGAAAACTGTATGAAAATAAACACTTCCAATATTTTTACGTTACGTTAAATGCGGAGCTTATGTTTACTGCACAACGCCACGCAGCTTCTCCTATATTATCCTATGTTAATAGTCTCGGGACTGAAAGCTAAAACATCAGTTAATATAAGATACTAGACAAGATATCGTGTTATACTTAACATCACTTAATATTTGAAAATAATTCAACAATTTTCAATGAATAAATTATGAGAGAGTCTAACTCCTTTAGTTAGTGCAATAAAGCAATTGATGACCTACACCTTTGTACTCTGTGTGCTGCTCTCTACGATTGTTTTAAACTCGCAAACAGGTGGTATATCCTCCAATGGCCCGATAGACTGTTTTATACAGTCTATCGGGCCATTGGAGGAGCATAATAAAAAAACTTACCCGACAGCACCACGGTGTTACTGATCAAGGATCCACCACATATCTGTTGGTATTGGTCCGAGGAGTCCCCCTTTCGGTATATACCAATGTGCCAGGGAACGTCCCCAAGCCGCGTCGTCTCCCCACCCAGCACCGAAGGCATAAGTTTCGGTATCAATTTGCCACACTCTGAAAAATATGAATTACCACTTTTGAATAAAAAAAACCGGCCAAGTGCGAGTCGGACTCGCACACGACAAGTTGCGTACCACTATCTATAAAAACGGCAAAAAAATCATGTCATTTGTATGGAAGCCCCATTTAAATATTTTTTAGTATTTATCGTTATAGCCGCAACAAAAAATACATCATCTGTGAAAATTACAACTGTCTTACTATTACGGTTCCTGTGATACAGTCTGGTGACAGACAAAGACACAGACAGGCAGACAGCGACGAATTAGTAATAGGGATCCGTGTTACCCTTTGTGTACGGAACCCTAAAAAGATAGTTGTGGGAAACGAACGACAGAACTAACGGTGAGCTATCACCGCTTTTTTATTTGAAAAGTTTTCAAGCCATTCCATAGATATCTACATCTCCCTGAGGCCTAAGTGGGCCACGGTTACCAACGTGTGGCGGTCTACGAACTATATGGTGGTAAAGTCCTATGCGTACAATAGAGCTAGTATTTCGTAAGAAGAGTTTCCAATACATCGGTACGTTTCGTAACAAATAACCAGTCTTCACGTAACGCAGCGATGAATGATTCTAAGGTTTTTGATGATGTGAACCGCTAGCCAATTGCCACCTTCTCACATAAAAAATTACGATATTTCCCAATAATCCTGCATAAGTATCTTGTGATGTGCTCTCTCTATGACTGAACGAAACCCATAGCTAGCTTCTTACCCGGAGCGCAAATGGGGCCCGAGCTCCAGGCGCCTCCGCTGCACCGCATGTAGGGCAGCTCGACCGGCGAATAGTAGTGCTGCTTGCATTTGGGCCTCGCGATGGCGCCCTCTGGCTCCTCTGGGCCGCAGCTCCTCAACTCATCCTCGCCCTCGTCCGTGCACTGGTACTCGACGCTGTCGTGTCGAGCCAGCGGACAGGTCTCTGAGGTGATATCTCTATTGAAAACCATCGTTGGACACGACGGGCCCGTCAAAATGTGAGATTGCTGTTATCTTTTGACTTTTCAATCAGTCGCCACAACGTCGCGTTACAAATCTCTCCTTCTAACAGTATGTTGTTTCTCTTTCAAATTCGTTCAACCAATTCGTATGCTTTGTGAACTTTACAAATGAACTTTACAGTTTTATACGTAAGGGTTTTCTAAAATTATTTGTTTTTGAAAATTTTTTAACGCGGTATATATTGATGTTTAAATAAAGTAAATGTTTAATACAATTTCAAAAAGTGTGATTATTTAAGGTCGAGATAGTAGCGCAACGTTGTAAATAGAATTGTCTATGGAAGAATAACATAACTTATTTCTATAAAGTGACAGCTTCCTCGAGCTTTCCAATGTATAACAGTTTTTTGAACTTGAACATTAAAATATGTAGAAAAAGTACGAAAAGATTGTCGCCGCTGTGGGAATCGAACCCACGTCTTCGGCATCCGCGGCCTGGCGCTCTAACCACTGAGCTAAACGATTGTCACACCGACGAAAATCCTACCGTCTTTTTCTACATTGTTTCTTAGCATTTGAAGCGACTTTAACTTACGGACGCAGTAAGGTAGCTCCGGCCAGGCCTCCCCGCATAGCACCCTCACTTCCCCCACCAACTTGAAGCCAAAGCTGCAAGCGTACTCCAGCTGTACTGAGTTCGCATCGTCGAGGCTTGTCTCGCTCACTATACGGTAGACGCCGTTCTCGGGCCGCTGTGGTAGCGCACATCTGCAAACGCATACGTCCGTAGTAGCACACAACTTGTCTATCCGTCACCTAAAGTGGACGATGCATTCGCTCTCTCATCCAGTTTAATAATACAAACATGAAACACGAGGGTAATATGACGGATATCCTCGCAGTGGCCAAGGTATTGGCTTCGGCGTCGGGGGTCGTGGGTTCGACTCCCACACGGGACAACTGTTTGTGTGACCGACAGATAGTTGTTTCGCATCTGGGCGTTTGACCGCGTGAAATTTATGTTTGTTAAACGTCCTTAAAGCACAGGATAATGTTATCCTAAAGCAAGGGCAATGTTTCTAAAAAAAAAAAAAAGGAAAAAAAAAGAAAAGTGGTGAGAAATATGTTCAGGCTATTCACTCAATTTCCGACGCATGCGTTCAGAGTTGCATACAAATTGTCCAACTATTATCTCAATTGGATAATGGATTCGCTCTCTGACCTTGTTTCATATTGTAAACATGAAACACGACCGTACTATGAAGAAGGCCCTCCCAATGGTAAGAAATAATTTCGAGTTTATTCATGTTGATTTCTAGGGTTCCCTACCAAAAGGGTAAAACGGGAGCGGGATTACTAAGACTCCGCTGTCTATCTGTCAGTCTGTACGTCTGTCACCAGGCTGTAACTCATGAACCGTGATAGTTAGACAGTTGAAATTTTCACAGATGATGTATTTCTGTTGCCGCTATAACAGCAAGCTAAAAAAATTAAAAAATAGAATAAAAAAATTTTTAAGTGTTTTAATAGATAACCGTACCATTATCAAACACTTCGTGCGCGATTCCGACCCGCATTTGGCTTAGTATTTTATTTTGGGGTGAAATAAATGTTTTATTCAAACATTTATTTCACTTTTAAATATTCGTTCTTCATTAGTTTTTAATTATTTATATCTTAAAAATAATAGTATTAGGAGGAAAAACGAGAAACGTACTTTATTACGCCGGCCTCCGTAGTACCGTTGCTAAGTTCGTTGGTCTCAACCGGTGTGATCTTGCCGCAGACGTCCAGAAGTTCGTCCGAACCATCCCGGCATTCGGCCGTCTGCAAAGAGACATTCAAAAAATATAGTGCGGGCCTAAAAATCGGAGGACCAACCTCCGAGTGTCTCATGATTAGATCACTCTTGAAAGCCGTGATAGTTCAGAGTTGAAATCGCGGTGCCGGCGTCAATGAAATTGTTAATTTTATGTGCTGACTCATCACGTGCTCAGCGGAAACAGCGGAAGGAAAACATAGTGAGGAAACATGCGTATTTTCGAAAAAAAAATATTTTGAAGATATGTGATGTCTGCCATCCGCAGTGGGGTTGGGTGCCGAACTGTCATATAACCTATTTATATAGGAGGACAGTATTATAAATTTCTCATAAATATAATGTTTCCAAGACCTTTCTACCAGAAGATCATGCCTCCTTTTCCATAAAAGGCTAAGTGAGTGTCACGAGGTCACTATAAATTTGCCTGGACTAGGTAACTGCCGTTTTCGCTTTCAGTTCTTAGACTACTAAAGCTTCGGCGAACGCATTTACCTGTTATAAGTTACGTGTATAATCAATTTAGACAGCAGGAACGAGATAAAAATAGTCAAGTGACTAACTACTTACTAAGTCCCAAAATGTGTCGCGTGTCTGTAATCGAGCATTTTTTTTTATTTGAGAAGCTGGCAAGCGAGCAGTTGGTTCACCCTATGTGAACAACCGCCGCCCATGGACATTTGCACCTTTGAGTTGCAGATGCGTTGCTACGTTTCAATAAAGCGGGCCCCGGCCACCCCACTCACCAGACGAAACGCAGAAGTATTCCACTTCCACTTGACGCCGGTCTCAGGGAAGTCTTGTTTACCCGGACCCATCAATACGTGCGACAGCCGTGCGAACTGTTTACGGCCTCCACAGTTAAACCGCCAAAGAACATCGAGGACATTTAAATTGTTTATAGTGCTAATCTTTGCACATAAGATTGAACATTAAAATATGTAGAAAAAGTGCGAAAAGATTGTCGCCGCTGTGGGAATCGAACCCACGTCTTCGGCATTCGCGGCCCGACGCTCTAGACACTGAGCAAAACGGCCGTTCGATTCCCACAGCGGCGACAATCTTTTCGCACTATTTCTACATATTTCAACATCGAGGCCAGATCCGAAATGATCGCACACAAAGACCAAGATCAAAAGAGCCCCGGCCACTTACGCCGTTGCACTTCGCCGCGCCCTCCACGCATCCGCCGTACCCGCACTGAAACTGCTCCGGCTGGCAGACCAGTCCCACGCACGCCGCGACGCTCTCATCTGACCCGTCCTTGCAGTCCGCCACGCCGTCGCAACGGCCCTTCTCCGGCATGAGCTGACCACTGCGGCACTCGAACTGCCCTCTGCGAATGTACTAGCATGTTAAAAAGGCCTCAACCAGCGAGCGATAAGCTCCTCATCTTAACTATCCTATAGGCCTTCAAAACCTGCCTCATGCGCCAGAGGATGTGAGTTCGATTCCTGTGGTTCCTAACCACTTGCAAAAACTTTGTGAGGTGAATATGATGTTTTTCCAGTGTCTGTGTAAACTCCTTATTAGCAAATCATTCTCCTCCCAATAAGGCGCTGGAACTATGGTTCCGACACCCACAATTTCGGCAGCAGAGGGTAGACAGAATAGTGCATCGCAATACTAATCCCTTGCATCAGATGTGCAGCCGCCAAGAGAACTCTGTCGGATGGAAAATCATGGCACACCTGATGCATCTAAAGACAGCCGCAGTAATCCTTTTGAATAACTTTCTCATCTCAACTACTGCGTAAGGTCTTGGTGCTTTCCTAAATCACGGGAAAGTGTTTCAAGTAGCCAAGATTGTAAAACGAAAGACGTACTAGATGACTCCAGCCTCCGTGGTGCTGCTGCTGAGTTCGCTGGGTCTAACCAGAATGATCTGGCCGCAGATCTCTAACAGTTCATCCGAACCGTCCCAACATTCCGCCGTCTGCAAAAACGCATTAAACAAAATTTAGCACGCTCCTAAAATTATGCTTGCAAATCATTTGTAAGCAAAAAAATAATTAGTTACAGCCTATACAAGTCAAACTCCTGGGCAAAGGTCTCCTCAGTACAGAGGTTATTAGGGCACAAACCACCACGCGGCCCCACTGCGGACTGGCGGTCTTCTCATATCTTCGAAACAATTTTTTCGAAAATATGCAGGTTCCCTCACGATGTTATCGTACACCGAGCTGACGTGATAAGTCAACACTTAAAATGTAGTTTTCTCAAGTTTCTCGAGTTTAATAAGTTACTTAATGCTGATGAATATTAATTTTACAATTCACAACAATAGCATTAAGTCTAAAAATTGTACGATCAAAGTAAACAAACATGATTGGTATTATTATTAGTTTCAAACACCGTTTCAAGGTCACATACACCGTTGCACTTCGCCGCACCGTCCACGCATGCGCCGTACTCGCACTGGAACTGGCCCGGTTGGCAGATAACTTCGACGCAGGCGGCCACCCTCTCATCCGAGCCGTCCTCACAGTCAGTCACGCCGTCGCAACGACCCCCGCCGGAGATCATCTCGCCGCTGCGGCACAAAAACCGCCCCCTGGAATCAATTTTTAATTTTTTTTTAACCATCCTTTATTTTTATGGCGTTTTTATCTACGGACATAGTGTCTATGTAGACACGCCGACCCCATCGTAACTAATACAAGTCAAAACAATAGTCAAGTTTACATATTCATGTAAAAGGTAATACACCGTTTATCGATTGTACAAGGCCGCAAATAAGTTTTGTTGTTTCACTTTTACGATTCGCCAAAATATTAAATGTCCTTTATATTAAATTCCCTTTTTATTTCCCTCGTCTAGTAAGCGATACGCTTTTTCACTCAATATAGACTACAACAACTGGTTATTATGTAAGCACTCCTTTTTTTACGTAATCTATTTCTTTTTCTTTGGATCTGGAATTATGAAAAAAAAAAAATTCTAACGTAAAGTATTTATAATTTTACCTCCAGCCTGATGACTGCGGTGGCTGACTCGCCTGTTTAAAGCTTGGCAAGGTGTAATGGTACTATGGATGTCCTGAATCGGTTGTCACGTGGTAATAACGGAACCGTATGACACATGAGTATGTCCACGCAGCACATATTGGTGCATATCAACAGTATTAACTCCACAGATTGGCGTCGTCGAGATATTCCGCCATGGTATAACATGCTTTAACCATTAGTATACTTTTAATGTTCCGTTTAAACTGATCAAGTGGCAGACATGATATCGACCGTGGGATTTTGTTATACATGAGCCCATGAACGACTTTTTTAGTTTATGTAAATTATGATAACAATTGTTTTGAAATACACCCTTTGGCTTACCCAACTTTTAAGACCCTGCCGGTGCACTTGGAACCCAGCTCATCGGAATTGTCCACACAGTCCCGCCGCCCGTTGCAAACGTCACCCTTATCAATGCACGCGCCATAGTTGCACCTAAACTGACTCTGGTGGCATCTGGAATAGATTGTTATTGAATGTTATGGCCGTGATAGCTCAGTGTCCGGGCGCTCGCCTTTAGTTTAATATACTCGAGCAACCTGAGTTCGATCCCCGGTGCCGGCACCAATGAAGTTTTTAACTTTAAGTGCTGACTTATCACGTGCTCCGCGGTGAAGGAAAACATCGTGAGGAAACCTGCATATTTTCGAAATAATAACAAAAAAAAATATATTTCGAAGATATGTGAAGTCCGCCAATCCGCAGTGGGGCCGCGTGGTGGGCTGTGCCCTGATACCCTCTCTATAGAAGAGGCCTTTGCCCAGCAGTGGGACATATATAGGCTGTTACTTTTTTATTTTTATGGTGAAATTTTCGACTGCCGCCGTTTCTATATTGCAATAAAAAAACGATAGAAATAGTTTTTAACAAAAGCATTGTCAACACCTATAACATTTGAGGATTGCCCTCCTTTTTCTGGGATGCCGCCATCAGATCCGGGTTTCCTTATCATGGTACCATCCTTGGGATATTTCCTTTCCAACAAAAAAAAATCATTAAAATCGGTTCATAAACGACCAAGTTATCCGCAAACATACATAAAAAAATATATATACATACGGTCGAATTGAGAAACCTCTTCTTTTTTGAAGTCGGTTAAAAATATCACTAATCAATTAATCAACTAGCAGAATTCGCTTGTCATTTATATATGTCGAGAAAAAAAAAAGAAAATTATTTTCAATAAGAAAGTCCGCCATTTTGGTGTTGTCAACTGTCATTCTAACCGTAATGACGCTTCGTCATTACGGTTAACTATTATGGAACGTTTTTTTTAAAAACTCACATTTTTTATCATGAGATACGATCTAATTCCATCTTAACTAAAATTGGAAGAAGAATGGGGTAATTTCGTTATAATATTATGATAGCCACCATTCCACTGATGAGTGAAGAACGTGTGTTGACAACACAGTGGTGCATAGAACGTTAATTAAGATCCGATTTGAGATCTTGAATAATTTGGACTGGCCGCGCCGTACAGCGCATAGGATCTTAACATGTTAATGGGAATAGAATTTAAAAATTACAGAGCACAGGTAGTTGATTGTCATTAACATAAAAAAGATAAAAAATTTGAGGATGAGACGTGGATGATTGTTTTCGTAGGAAAGAATGAGCTCACTGCCGAAGAAAATAAATTTTGGCTTATAAAAAATGTGCTAAAACTATGGAATACAAAATAAAATCATAGAGGGATTCTTGAAAAGGTATGTCTGACAATGATGCAACCAAAACAAAAATACTTTTGAAATCCATAATCTGTACAGCATCTTAGAAAGAAAATATTTTATAGAATAGTAGCTGGCCCGCGCAGCTTCGTCTGCGCCATCTATTGGATACTTATTTAATCCAACCGATAAATTTACCTTACCCCGCCATCTGTTAGAATCTTATGGAACTCATTAACTCTTACATTGAGATGGGTCGTATCGCTTCGTCGAGTACCGTATCTGAATCAGATTTCGATTTCAAATATCAGATTTCGAAACTATGTATTTTAATATCTAGATATACAGATATTTTACGGTCCCGTATCCATCTTGAAATAAAATGAAAAATGTATACAATTATACCTATACATAACTAAAGCTGTGTACCAAACTGTTCAAAAAGAATACTCCTAAATAAATTCGAAAACCCACTAAAATTGACTAAATTCAAAAAACTTATTTTTTATAAAACATTACCAAATAAAATTACCTGATAAAATTAAAAATTTCATTAAAAATAGAAATTGAAGTAATATAAAAATGATTTATTTTAACATCTTATATATCGCTTAATAATTGACTTTAACATATTTTTAGAACACGCAATCATGAGTGACAATATTTTTATAATTTGTGTAAGAAATAATTCATTCAGTATTATAACTTAGGGCGGAAGAATTTAAAATATACACACAAGGCACATAAGCCTTGGTCTGTTTTGCACCAAAGCAGCACAGCACTATTAAATTATATTTTTCTTTTTGTGTAGTTTTATTTTTTTCCAAAATTCGTATTTAAATGCAACAGAGTTTTTTTCCATGCTGTTAGGATTCAAAATTACTTAACTGCGCGCTTTGTCGCCCGTTACGGCTCAAGGCTAAACGAAAGAATAAAAATATAATAATATCGTTGTAGTAATCGTTGATACCATGATTAGTATTTAAATGAAACGGATCTTATTTGCATGGAATTAAGATTCAAAATTACTTAACTTATTCATAATATCTGTTTAAAATTCTGATATTGTGCCTTGCTTGCCGCACTGCTCTAACTAGTGTAATATTTGTATCTCACGCGCTTTGTCGCTCAAAATCTGTTTAAAAATCTGATATCGTGCATTGCTTGCCGTCCAGCTCTAACTAATGAGTATTTATATCTCACGCGCTTTGTCGCTCGAAATCTGTTTAAAAATCTGATATCGTGCATTGCTTCCCGTCCCGCTCTAACTAGTGAGTATTTGTATCTCACGTGCTTTGTCTCTCGAAATCTGTCTAAAAATCAGATATTGAGGCAAACGCGTATGACATCGCGATTCCTGTCGGTATAGCGAGCGAGCGAGTATTCGGTACATCAGATTTCGGAAATATCAGATATTGTAAAATACTTAGATTTTGATCGAGCCAGTAAGCGATATTCGGATATTGTACTAATATACAGCGTGTCGTTACCACCGCGACAATAAATGAACACACATATAGATAATAACTTTTTAAAATTGTATTAAACATTTACATTCTTTAAACATCAATATTTTTATTTTTTTATCATCAATTTTTCATCATAAATATTTTTTATTTATTATCAATTTTCCTAAACAAACAATTTTAAAACACCCTTACGTATGAAACTGTAACGTAAAGTTCATTTGTAAAGGTCACAAAGTATATGAATGGGTTTAATGAATTTAAAAGAGACAAAACATACTGTTAGAAGGAGAGGCTTGTAATGCGACGCTGTGGCGCAAGTTGTATAGCATGTTAACAAATTTTGTTTCTTTTTTACATGATTAGTTTGTTTGAAAAAAAAAAATTTATTATGGATTTTGTTTAACGTTAATATTTTTTTATGATTATTGGCAAGTAGCGTTAGACGTGTGTTCATTTATTGTCGCGATGGTAACGACACGCTGTATAGTTTTCATATCTGATACGATTTGTATCGCCCACTTCTATAATGAACAAATATTTTTTTTCGACCAGTAATCTATTAAACATGCATTTGAGAGCTAACCAGCGTATGTATTTTTGTGTGTCATGGGCGTTTGCGTCATTCACTCTTAAGTGCGCAGCAAGCTCGCGTCGCTGTCTGTCGTTCTGTTGACGTTTAATGTCAAAGGCGCTACCTCCTCGACCTGCAGAGGGAGAACGCCTCGTCGCTGCCGTCGGAACACTCGAAGATCCCGTTGCACTCTGGCTGGCCGCGCACGCACAACCCGTCGAGGCATTCGTGCTCATTGTAACTGCAAAATAATAATAACTCATCACTCGACCGTTTGTCAAAATCTTACGATAAAAATAACTCATCACTCGACCGTTTGTTGATCTCACTCACCAAACGAAACGTGAAAGTAAATTATACTTCCACTTCACGCCGGTCTTCTGTGAGGTCGTGGTACTTACCCGGACGAGCTCGCCCATTCGTGCAACACCCGAAGCTGCTGCTGCTACCATAGTTAAAAAAAGTTTGATTTTGATTGGTACATATAAACAAAACAGCTGACCAACCTGCAGCTCTCTTCGTGCCGCTTTGGCAAAGCCAATGCCCTCTTGTTTCCCAGCTCACTGTAATATTATTAATGTTTAATAATAAATTTTGTTCGCTTTTAAATCTCACCAAGTTAAGTGATAACGGTCGATTGACATTTGCAACACCCGTGGGGTTGCAAATGCGTTGACACCTCTTAAATGAAGTGATTTTAAAGTTGATAGATGACTCCGTGGCGCAGTTCGAAGTGGGTTCGAATCCTGTTTGTGTAACCCACAGATAGTAGTTTCGCATCTGGGTTTGTCCACATGAAATGTATGTTTGTAAAACGTCCTTACAGTACAGGATAATGTAATACCTAAAGTAAGGGCAATGTTTTTATAAAAAACACACACGACACTATTTGTCATAATGTAATCACCGTCAAAAGTAAATCAACATGAAACTCGAAGTCATGCAAATAAACCATATTAGGCGAAATAAAAAATAAATACCTGGCATAGGCGTGGTAATGTACGAGGCAAAACGTGGACGCCTTGATAGTAAAAACGTAACTGAAAGAAAACGTACTTTCATTATAAATTAAATAAAAATGCAAAACCGACTTCAAATACATCACTCATTATACATTTTATATTCGATTTGTTCACCAATCGAATCGAAATCGATAAAATCAGCGATGAGTTCGCTGACATTTATCTGGACTCCCATACACATGAAATTAAATTGAATTATTTTATACAAAAATTAGCTGACGCGGCGATTGCAAAGAATTTGTACGATAAAAAAAAACAGCCTTATTATTTGTAATTGGTACGAGAAAAAAAACAGCCTTATTATTTAGGGATATAAAAAAAGATTACAACTGATTCTCAGATCTACCAAATATACGTATAAAATTTCATAAGAATCGATCAAGACGTTTCGAAAGAGTTTGGCAACTAACATCGTGAGTTGTGACTTGAGAATTTTATATCTTAATATATAAAATTCTCGTGTCACGGGGTTCGAACTTGAACTCCTCCGAAACGGCTCGACCGATTTTTAACAAATTTCATATGCGTATTCAGTAGGTCTGAGAATCGGCTCCTATCTATTTTTCATCCCCCTTAATGTTAAGGGTGGTCCACCCCTAAAAATTTTTTTTTACTTTTTGTATAAATTTTTTTGTTTCTATATTTTTATGATACAGCATACAAAAATACATACAACCCTAAATTTTCACCCCTCTACGCAGACGTAGTCGCGGGCAGCAGCTAATATATATAGAAAAATTAAACGACGGATTTCTGAGTTATCAGACAACTGAATTAAAAACTTCCTCCTTTTTTGAAATCGGTTGGAAAAAAGCCCTTCCCTTCCGGCTGCAGTGGGTAGGTTAATTTTTGTGACCGCTGAGAACGATGGTGACTTCTCAGATTTTTTATGAGAAAAGTTAAAAAAAAGTCACTTGTATACACGCGCGTGTATTTATAATGATATGTATAAACACGTATGTATAATTATGTAAATATATGTATGTATAACAATATTTCTTAACTTACAGGTATATATGAATAACAATATGTCCTGTCAATCCAACTAAAAAAACCCAAGCTATAAAAATGGTTCTGTGATGATCGAGATGAGGAAAACATAAAGTCGACCCACCTTGTATTAACTGATGTTTTTGCTTTCAGTCCCGAGACTATTAAAGCTTCATCTGACGCAGAACCGGTGGGCTAGCCAGAACCCACGGGTTTGGGCCCTCCGCTGTGGGGAGGGCCACGCATGTGCTCATGCGTGCGTTTAAGTATGGTGTGTCATTTAATAGCCATCGAGGTCGCGGTTCGGACCGAAACCCGGATGGCCGTCAACTGTGCAATTAGCTAATCGGTGGCGGGGAGCGGTGAGAACCGTCCCGGAACGCGTGTGTACCTTGTGTACGCGTTGTGTTGGTCTCGCCGTGCTCGGAGGCGAGGGCGAACTAGTGTGTTTGTTATTGCACTAACTGTGGGTGTAGTGTTGTCCGGCGGGACCCCCGGCGGTGGGTCCGGCGCATCTAAGTCTCGACCCACCTCTATCCGTCCATAGTACAAGTGAAAAATTCCAATTCGAAATCTAAATATTATACTCAATTTATGCATGTTCGAACGCTATAATTCAAAATCAAACACAAACAGCTGTGGATTTTAATCATGCAATCAGTTCAGACGAATGGTTGTAAATACGAAACTTAAAATAAAAAAAAAAAAGTCAAGCTGTAAAGAATTGACTTACCTCCAAATATTAAAATTAGGTAACACTCCGACGTCATCACTCAAAATTAATCCAATTATGCTAACATGAAGGTTTAAGATGCACGTTCCGTTCTTGAACACGAAATATCGTTTACAGCGAGATGTTATGACGACCTCCAACCTTGTAGTGACGTAGACATCAATGTGGCGGCCAATTAGTAAAAACCCGCTTGTCGAATGACAGAAGAGATACATACATATAATACACAATACTATATATTTTAAAAATATCAAACAATTTATGGCGCAATTTAATGCCTTATCATTCTTAAAATGTTTTCTTTGTCATTTAAAAAAAAAAATGTTATTGTGAGATCTATTTTTCCTATTTTCTCCGGTTAGTTTTTGTTATTGTCACACATATCTTTAGAAGGAAGTCGTTATTGGATTATTAAAAAGAACACAACAAAAAATGTATAGGTATTCATTTAGCCTTGACCAAAGGAAAAGAGTATGTGAACATTTCAATAATTTATGAGAATTCTGTAATTAAGAGACTATATTTATAGAATTTACCAAGTTTATTTATAAATTAAGCTTCCTGACATTGTGGCGTAACGAACAGTGATAGCTCAGCTACCAGATCATCCGCTGTAATGATTACTTAGTAGGCGAGTTCGATTCCCATTCCCGAGCAATATTTCTATTATGTGTGAATATATTTCAATATTCCATCACTCTCTTTCGCACAGTTTTTCTTCTCTTATTTAAAATTTATTTTGGAGTTATTAAAGAAATCGATTTAATCGCATCTCATTTTAATTCCAAATCGCCGACATTTCGAACGATTAAAAGCGATACGTTTTTTTTTTAAATGTGAAAAGTTGTCAAGCGAGCGGGCGTTTCACCTGATGTTAGGTGAATACCGCCGCCCATCCCCACTGGCATCTATCTACAATGCGTTGATAACATTTAAAACAAAACTTAGTGTAATATATGTATTGTTCTTGTCGGTAAAGGGTTATAATGTTTTCGGCATGTACCCTCGTCTAATGGGCCAAGTCAATAAATGGCGGTTGTACTATTCAATGCGTTTTAATGTCTGCTCCCGAATCCCTCAAATAGTAAAAGAAAGAAAGAAAAAGAAAGAAAAATATTTGGTACATAAACAAAAAAAATACATAAAAGACCTAAACACAGTAATTTAGTTAGAAAGAAAAAAAAATATTTTATGCGTATTGGTGCACCAAAAAGGTTTTCACTCAGCGTTAAATTCACGAAGTTTAATAACTTCATGAAAGCTGATTTTCAGTGGAACCTATATATAAGAAGGTAGATGGGCGAGAACGTCAGCTTACACAAATATCTTATAAACCAAGTAACAATCTTAAAACCATGAATATAATAAAAACAAAACACGAAAACAACAAGGTTATAACAATCATAATAAAGCAAACAAAGGTAGGTACGTACGTCTGGTGGACATGTTCATTAAGTCGCGTCGGTTTAGGAATGGAGTGACATGAGATCGAAGTGGTATTGAAAAACAGAAACGTGCGCAAGCGTTTTGTATTCGTTGTAAGAGTTTTTTAGTTCTTGCCATTAAGCATTCACCAAAAACTGCGTCACCATAAGACAACTTTGACAAGATGAGAGTTTCACACAACTTAATGCGCATATCCACAGTCATAATAGTGAAGGACATTACACTCAGCTTTAATGAGATCGTGCCCGATGAAGCTTTATGTATGTACGGACTCAAAGTGCAAACATCTATCATCGAACAAGATATCATACTTAGATGAATTTGCAATGAAATGCCAAAATCATATTTATAAGGTATAAGTCAGTGTTTTTGTATACATAATATGCTACAATATGCTTTGTAAGTGATATATGTGATAATGGTCTAATTTAGCAGATCCAGGGGCGAATTGAACCTAAAGAAATTGTGTTCAAGGTCATTTTAACAGTACAAAAATTGTATATATTATGTTTTCGCTAAGTTATAGCATTTTAATCTACCCAATGCTGGTGGGTCGAGAAAGACCCGCCACACAGTGGCGGAAATATCGTTGGGGGCGCATTTCGACCCGCCGCCGCACCAGATGATGTTTTATGATTTATGTGTCGCAGCCATATGACAGACAATATAGTTCTGAGGTCAACGTATATTGGAAGAGTCAAAACTATGGGGTTCCATACGCAAAGGGGAAAACGGGGCCCTATTACTAAGACCGTGTCTGTCAAGCCGTCTGTCATGAACCGTGATAATAAGACAGTTGAAATTTTCACATATGATGTATTTCTGTTGCCGCTAAAACAACAAATATCTGGTGGTAAGTGACAGCCGCCGCCCATGGACATTTGCAACACAACTTCACCAAACACAGAAAGTCTCAGTGCAGTCTAAAATAAATAAAAAGTAAGTTTGGAAGAAAATATTAAAAAAAAAATAATTAAAAACAAGAAACAAACTTTTGATTTATACATCTCCGTAAATACATAAAGATGACACTTTATGACTATGCACGATAACCGTAACGTAGAAAAGGCAATCATAATAAAAAAAAATCATGTCAACGTTTATTATTTTGACAACAAAGCTCCACGCAGAACCTTCGAGAAGCCTCAGCCCGATACCCCCTCCCCCCACCCCCCCTCTGCCCTCAGACGTCGTCGGGCAGGTGGGCGTTGAGGAAGAGCGCGTGCGCCGTCACGCGGGTGAAGGTGGTCACCGTCCGCGCGTTGCACACGTCCTCGTTCCGGGGCGCGGTCGACACCACGCCGCGCAGGTAGAAGCGCGCCACGCCCCGCTCCTGCCCCGCGAACGAGAGCCCGCCCCCGCTGTCGCCCTTGCACAGCGCCGTGCCTGCGCGCGAGCGTGTTCACCGCTTTTTTAAGTGAAAACTCATTGCTTCAAATGCTAAATAACAATGTAGAAAGAAGGCGTTAAGATTTTCGTCGCTGTGGCTATCAGCCGTTTAGCTCAGTGGCTAGAGCGTCAGGCCGCGAATGCCGAAGACGTGGGTTCGATTCCCACAGCGGCGACAATCTTTTGCGTACTTTTTCTACGTGTTTTATTGTTCAATCTTAAGTGCAGAGATTAGCACTGTAAAAAAACTTTAAAAATGAAAACTCCTTTTAGCGGTACGCACGTTTTTAGACGAGACAAAATCTCTGGACTTGCAACGCCGTTACGAGGCGCAGCTATGGCGTGTGCTCAATTGAATTTTTAAATAGAGAGTTTGATTTTACTATGTCCAATCAACTATTTATTAAACTATTTATATTATTAGCACAACGGGATATGAAGGTATAATTGATGCGGTATTCACGAGATATTTAAATAACTTCGAATCAAAATTGTTATTATTTATATAATTTTATTTATCTAAAAAATTGTCTAAAGCGCCAAAATAAGTTTTCACTTCTGTCGGCAGTGCCGGAGTGCAACCCGTAATTTTTTTTGTTTTATGGGAAAAGAAGACTGGCCAGTGTTTTTTCTTTTTGAAGTGAAACCTCTTGAAGTGAAACGCACGCTTGATTGGGGATGGGGAGTAAGCCAGTGAACGCGCGACGAGGGCGTTACGAAAAGTGTGATGTTACGCGAACGGTGATTTCTTGATTACATATTTCGTAATGTCCAGATAAATTAATATTTTGTTCAATACCTACAATGTTCTACGTTTCAAATGAATAAATTTTTAAATTCATACAGATGGAGATGCAGATTATATGTAGATGAAAAACATAATAAAAACCCAATTACAGTTGGACGGGTACGACATTATTATCATCATCGTCATTGTAGCCTTTTAAAGTGAACTTCTAAATATAGCCCTCTCGCACAGACTGCCACGTAGTACGATACTGCACCACCTGTACCCATCGACTTCCCGCACATCACTATGCCTCGCCTTTAAGTAAGAAGAAGGCGAGCTGGCAGTACGTCACATTTTAAGTGATAACCGCTACCCATGAACGCCAAGGGCGCATCTGCTACACCCGAGGGTTACAGATGCGACGCCACCTATAAGACCAGACCATAAATATAAATATTTCCACCTCACGGCGGTATTGTGCTATCGTGGTACCACATCAAACGGACCTGCCCATTTGTGCAACAGCCGACTATAGCGTGGCCCTAGCGGTAGACAACTTCACGCGTCCTTGAAATAGTTTTGCTGTCCGAAAATACCATTGTAGAATCCTGCGCAGATCTTGTCCACGGTGATGGCCGCCTTGAAATCAGCTGGCGCCCTATCGAGGCACTCGCCTGTCTCAATAACGGGCAGCTCCACCACGCGGAGCACCTGAGAGGGCTCGCCGTTGGGGCCCGTCAGACCCCAACCCGCTACCTGGTGGAGGCAGGTGGGGCTTTGACACAAGAGGTCCAGAGGCCTCGGAGGTGCAATACTGATGATGGCTAAGACCCCAACCGGCTAACTGGTGGAGGCAGGTGGGGTTTTGTCACAAGAGGTCCAGAGGCCTGGGAGGTGCGATACTGATGATGGCTAAGACCCCAACCGGCTAACTGGTGGAGGCAGGTGGGGTTTTGTCACAAGAGGTCCAGAGGCCTGGGAGGGGCGATACTGATGATGGCTAAGACCCCAACCGGCTAACTGGTGGACAGATGATGGCTAATACCCCAACCGGCTAACTGGCGGAGGCAGGTGGGGTTTTGTCACAAGAGGTCCAGAGGCCTGGGAGGTGCGATACTGATGATGGCTAATACCCCAACCGGCTAACTGGCGGAGGCAGGTGGGGTTTTGTCACAAGAGGTCCAGAGGCCTGGGAGGTGCGATACTGATGATGGCTAATACCCCAACCGGCTAACTGGCGGAGGCAGGTGGGGTTTTGTCACAAGAGGTCCAGAGGCCTGGGAGGTGCGATACTGATGATGGCTAATACCCCAACCGGCTAACTGGCGGAGGCAGGTGGGGTTTTGTTACAAGACGTCCAGAGGCATGGGAGGTGCAATATTGAAGGAAGGCTAAGACCCCAACCGGCTGTAAATATTCTAATATACCTGTAAATATTCCAGGACACATTTTTACGCAATGTCGCCTAGCCTCAAAGAAGCAACTCTATAGAAGCAACTGATAAACATTCTTGAACATACTTTTTTCTATAAATAAATACATATCATTAATGTACCTACAAACAACCAGACACTGGAAAAACGCTATGTCGATCACACGATACTTTTCCAGCAGTGGGGATCAATTATGATTGTAAATTCCTCATTATCGTTCTGATTTGTGTGCGGTCAGAGTTTCTAGACCGAAAAAGTCTAACAATCAAAAACCACACCGAAAGCCCACATCTTTTAGCAGTGATTTTTAAAGCAGTTCCCGATCATGTAGGAAGCTAAATCTAAAACCGCCCATATCTTTTTATTGTATTGACCTAGGATCTTGTATTTATATATACACCTAATAGGGAATATAGACCTCAGTATCTGGTATAAACTTCAACTTACTAGGTGTACCCGTTCCGGAGAAAATCGGCGGTGACATACGGACGGACAGACAAGAGAGTGACCTTATAAGGGTTCCTTCTTCCCCTTTTAAGGCATGGACGGAACCCTACAAGAGGCGAACAACGAGGTGCTTTGCGACGGACTTTAAGGAAGCTTTAAATATCGTATCCCACCTTCCCCCTGCTGCCTGGCCGCAGCTGTTCCTGGTCGAACAGCACGTCGAAGTCCAGGCATACGGGCCTTATGTAGGCCGTGTACTCGAACGGCCTGTCCACGAACACCAGCGCAATGTCCTCCTGGAAGTTGTTCTCTGGGCCCCTGAACGTCTGCGGCATCTTCACGTCCACCACCTGGAAGAGGGATAGGGGGGGGGGGGGGGGGGGACTTGATAAGCCTTCCTAAAACTTGTTTTTCTACGCGAAGAGTCGCCAAGCTAGCGGGCGGTACACCTGATGTTAAGGTGAATACCGCCCATGAACATCTACTACCCCCGAGGGTTGCAGATGCTTTGACGACCTTTTGAAAATTGCGCTCCGGCCACCTCACTCACCAGACGAAATGCGAAAGTATTATACTTCCACTTGACGCCGGTCTTCTGTGAGGTCGTGGTACTTACCCGGACGAGCCTGCCCGTTCATGCAACAGCCGAGTCTGCTGCGTGGCCCTACCACTTATTCCAGTCGCGTTTTTTGATTTCTAATCAAAACCCATTAGTGTCATCACACCAATCGGATATTTAAGAGGTCCTATCTCTGGTACATGTACATTTATATGAGCAAAAAACAAAACTGACTTCAAATCTCGCTATACATTTTCCTTTTATTATTTTGAAGTAACTCCGTAACACAAGCTCCAATGACAATAAAATTGCTGCTAAACCTAAAAACCGAACTCCGAACCTAAGCTAAACCGAACTCAATGCAAAGAGAATTTTTAAAATCCTTTTATAAATAACGAAGTCCCGAGGTGGCAAACAAAAAGCCAACCGAATCGAGTAGCTCCTGCATTTTTGAATTCGATCGAAATTCATCTACATAATTAAAAACTTATTTATAATTTGTTATATCGCTAATCTATGCACTTGAGTAGAAAAAACCGTCCAAGTGCGAGTCGGACTCGCGCACGAACGGTTCCGTACAACCTATAAAAACGGCCAAAAAAAATCATGTCTGTTTTATGGTGACCCCATTTAAATATGTTTTTATTCTTTTTAGTATCTATTGATGTGGCAACAGAAATACACTATCTGTGAAAATTTCAACTGTCTATCACGGTTCATGAGATGAACGGAATAAACGGCAAAAAGCTGTTCGCCGCTTCGGGAATCGAACCCAAGTCAATAAAGCTTTAAAATATGTAGAAAAAGTGCGAAAAGATTGCCGCCGCTGTGGGAATCGAACCCACGTCTTCGGCATTCGCGGCCTGACGCTCTAGCCACTGAGCTAAACGGCTGATTGCCACACCGACGGAAATCTTAACGCATTCTTCCACATTGTTTTCTTAGCATTTGAAGCAATGCTTGGCGCCATCTATTGTTATATCCTTTCCAGCATACAAACAATTTCGAATATCGAATATCGAATTGTTCTCGATCGGTTGGTTTGAACCGCGTAGCACTTACGTTCCTCTTCTGGGCGTCCGCGTCCCGCCTGTCCGCCCATTCGCGGTGTATCTTGCCAACCGCCACCGCGTAGTCACCCGGCGGCGCCTTCCCGCCAATCTTCTTGTCCCAGAAGCAGTGGGCGGCTGAAAGATAATAATAACAATAATAATATCCTTCATTGTACACCCAAAAATCATAATAAAAAAGTACAAAAAGCAAAATATTCATCAAACATTGGTCATCAAAAGGCGGCCTCTTATTGCTACACAGCAATTTCTTCCAGGCAACCACAGAAGTTTACCAAAAGGAATTATCGACAATTCCTTTTGGTAAATTTCTGTGTAGGATTCAAATTCAAATTCAAATCATTTATTCATCGAAATAAGAAATATACATTTCATTTATCGATAGTCATTTTTTAAATCTACCACCGTTTCGTTATGAGGTTCCTCTAACGGAGAAGAAACAGGCCAAAGAAACTCCGTAGGTATCCTCTTTTTTGTAATTTTTTTTTGCTCAACAAATACATAGTTATACAGTATATATTTTTTTAGAAATAGCTTAGGAGCGATCATCTCATTCCCAGGGGCTATTATCGTTAATGTATTCATTTATATCATAATAACCCTTTTTAAAAAGTTTTTCTTTAATAAATGTCTTAAACCTGTTAATAGATAGGCTTTGCACATTAACTGGGATTTTGTTGTAGAAGCGTATACACCGTCCCATGAACGAGTTACTGACTCTATGGAGTCTAGTAACTGGCGTTACAAGCTTGTGTTTGTTCCTAGTGTTTACATTATGTACATCAGTATTCTTATTAAAATTATTAATGTTTCTATGTACATACATTACATTTTCATAAATATATTGAGAGGCCAAGGTTAAAATATTTATTTCTTTAAATTTCTCTCTCAGAGATGCATTCAAATTAAGATTGTAAATTGCTCTTATGGCCCTTTTTTGCAAAATAAATATTGTTTCAACATCGGCTGCATGCCCCCATAGCAAAATACCGTATGACATTATGCTATGGAAATAACTAAAATAAACGATTCTAGCTGTATTTACATCAGTCAGATATCTTATTTTCCTTACAGCATATGCTGCAGAACTTAGTCTGCTAGCAAGTTTGGATATATGGGGGCCCCATTGAAGCTTTGAATCAAGAGTTATTCCTAGAAAAACAGTGGTATCCACAAGGCCTAACTCGTCCCCATTTATTAGTACATTGGCACCACCCAAGTGTTTAACATTAGGTGTCGAAAATTTTATATATTTAGTTTTTAAATTATTAGCATTAAACCAATGAACTATTTCTGACAAGGCATGATTTACCTGGTCAAGTGTTACAATACGTCGCTTAATTTTAAGGATGTACATGAAGGAAAAAAAAATAAAAATGATGACCACCAAGTAGCTAGAACTTCGCTGTAATAAGGTTTGGAAAAACTGTGAGAGTGAATTTTAACGGTGCCGACATCGTGGTGTTACCATGGCAACCGATAATATCTTTTTGACATTTTACGTTTAAGTTATTTGGCTAATCCGTTAACAATTGCATTTAATTTCTTCTTTTATCACAAACAAAGAATACTGTCACACGGCATAATTTTTTTAGTTATTTCGTTTGTTTTTATTTATTTATTTATTACACACTCGCACACAACTATTATTACAGGCAAATATATATACTATATATAATATATACCAAAAGTTATAAAATAGTTTTGTTTTGTTACGTTTAATAAGTATAACATTTCTTACGCACACAGACACACACACGCACGCACGCACGCACGCACGCACGCACGCACGCACGCACGCGCGCACGCACACACACACACACACACGTACACACGCGCGCGCGCGCGTTTGTTTTAAGCTCGATCCGATTTTGTGGATCGTAATGGACCGTATCATCTCGCATGCATTTGATCCGTTTTTAGGTCACAGAAGACGCTACTACTGAGACTAAGAAAACGTAGAGCTATATATATAAGAATCACGACCACAATAAGAGATACGTATAAGAAAACGTAGCTGATGTAAATTCATTCATTTTTGAAAATTCTCCGCACTTAAGATGAAACATTAAGATTTGTAGAAAAAAGTACGAGAAGTTTTTCACCGCAATGGGAATCGACCCCGTTTCTATAGGACTCGCGCCCTGACGCGAAAAACAATGTAGATAAAAGACGTTGATATCATCCGATGTCGTCGCTGCGAATTAGGCGTTTAGCTTAGTGATTAAAGCGTCTGGGCGCGAATCCCGAAGACGTGGGTTCGATTCCCACAGCGGCGAAAACTTTACGTACTTTTTTCTACAGATTTTAATGTTAAATCTTATATGGTAAGGTATGTGTATATAGAAAATGTAAAAGCCGATATGCAATAGCAAAATAATTTCAATTTTAGTCACGTAATAGTACATGTCTTTATTTAGGTAGGGACCGTCGAAATATCGGATCTCAACACTGTTGTTTGCACACGATATATTGTCGGTGTGTCATTATTGGACGGCCAATCAAAGTGCGATCTGGAGGTTTAGTTTGTTTATGTTAAACTTTTCGAAGTACTTTATTTCTACAATTTTTAATAGTCGTCCAAAGATGCTTGTGTATGTCGTAACTCACCCGAGACGACGACTCGACGCTTGAGCAGCGAGCCGCCGCAAATCTGTTCCCGGTTCGACCCCCGGTAGATTCCCGCGTGCCAAGCGAGCTCCCCCCTACTCGCGCCCCTGCCGCCGATCATCAGCTGTTCCACCTGCGACACCGCTGTACCGCACTCTGGGGATGGGCAAATGGAATAAATATATCAAACACACACACACACGCGCACGCACGCACACACACACAAGTAATCCATAATAATGTCTACATATCAAAAGGATTTACCTATATATATTTAAGAAAGTGCTGTGGGTTTTTTTACAAAATAAAATAAAAATATTATCGATATTTTTGGACAATATCGATCGAACTGCGGTACGGCCACGCAACATCTTCCGTTTTTGTACGAATGGGTAGGTTCTCACATAAAAAAAATTAACATCAGCATTACACCAAAGTTACTACGAAAATATAATAACCAGATTGTTTATAAATTACGTGCTGCTTTGAAGAATGGGGAATCCATTGGCGGGGGTTATCACTTAACATCAGGTGAACCGACGGCTCGGTCGCCACCTTCGCACATAAAAAATTGGCCAAGTGCGAGTCGGACTCGCGCGCGAAGGGTTCTCTACTATTATCTATAAAAACGGGGACAAAATCATGTCTGTCGTATGGAAGACTCACTTAAATATTTTTTTATTCTACTTTTTAGTATTTGTTGCTATAGCGGCAACAGAAATACATCATTTGTGAAAATCTAACTAACTGTGTATCACGGTTCATGAGATACAGCTTGGTGATAGACGGACAGACAGATAGCGCAGCAAAAACGGCAAAAAATCTTCTGTTGTATGAGTATATCTCATATACATATGAGATATACTCATATATATATTTTTTTATTGTTTCTTAGTATGTGTTGTTACAGCGGCGACAGAAATACATCGTCTATTAAAATTCCAACAGTCTAACTATCACGGTACATGAGATACAGCCTGGTGACATAGGATAGACAGACAGCATAATCTTAGTAATTACAAATTAGCTTAAATATAATTCTTTTTTTGAATATTATATTAATAACAGACCACCTCCTCTTTTGGTCATCCTTTTTTTATGTGAAAAGTTGTCAAGCGAGCAGACAGTTCATATGATATTAAGTGAATACCGCCGCTCATGGACATCTGCTACACCCGAGGGTTGCAGATGCGTTGGCAACCTTTTGAAAATTGAGTTCCGGCCACCTCACTCACCAGATGGAACGCGAAAGTATTATACTTCCACTTTACGCCGGTCTTCTGTGAGGCCGTGGTACTTACCCGGACGAGCCTGCCCGTTCATGCACCAGCCGAGGCTGCTGCGTGTGGCCGTACCACCGTAAAGTCTATTTAGTATAAGCCTGAAGGTCGTCAGTCGGAGGCCGTCCCGTTTTACCCTTTGGGTACGGAACCGTAAAAAAACCACCGCCGCCCCCCACTCACCGGGCACGCAGCTGGCGAGCTCCAGCCAGCGGCCGTCGTCGCAGAGGGCGCGGCGGTGCGGCCGCGCGGCGCGGAAGTGGTCGCGGCAGCGCGGCGCGGCGCTGGTGCCGGACGGCTCGAGGGCGCGGCACGGCCGCGACGCGCCGTCGGCCGCGACGCACACGTACGTCACGGAGGGGTCCGGTGGCATCGCGCACTGGCCTGGGCGGGGTACTTCGTATTTGCATAGCTGACGCTAAGTCGGCATTTGGTGCCGGTACCGGGATTTGAACTCTGATAGACTATATCAAATTGAAAGCGAGAGCCCGGACACTGAGCTGTGTTGGCTAAATTTCAGTAATATATTTTAACTGCAGCATATTGAATAAACTAAATTTAACCGTGGAATATCCAGTGTTTTAAAATTGGACTGTCCCACGTGTACGCTGAGGCGTTCAAAATGTCCGGAGACATTATTTACACGAAACATAAAAGATATTCGTCAAGTCTGAATCTTCACATAGAATTGGTGATAAACGGAGAGGCGTAAAACTCACGAAGGCAACGAGGCATCGGTCCCGACCAGACGCCGTTTTCGCAGTAGACGCTGGAAGATGTCGCGTTCGAGGAGTAGCCCTCTTCGCAGCTGACTTCCAGCACCGGATTGAGGAGAAGTTGTCCAGGGAACGAGCGGTTGTTCCCCACCACTCGATAGGTCCCGTGCTCAGGGTAAGCGGGCAGGACACACTGACCGCCTTGGTTGATATTAGGCCTGGAATCGCATCCACCAGTGTCTTTGAGAAGTCTGGATCGTACTTCGGCTAATCTAACACTTGTAATAGGTAACTTAAAGAGTGAAGATCGTTTTAAAGTAATTAGAAAAAAGCCAGATGGGCACGGATTCATAAATATGAATAAATAAATATCTTAAGACACATTTTTACATAACTTTCTCTAGTCCCTAGTTTTTTGGTAAATCGTGTGTTTTGGAAATTACATTTAGATACAAATTAGTGAGTAATGAAATATGCATAATATTTTTCGATCTTACCGACGTAATAATAAGAAAATATGATCTGATGTTTTTCACAAAAGAAAGAAGTTTAAAAAAAAAGGAAAAAAATAAGCCCCCGAATCTACGCACATACTAAATTTCATGAAAATCGCTGGAGCCGTTTTCGAGATTCCGATTATATATATATATACAAGTATTGCTCGTTTAAAGGATAAGAGATACAGCGTGTCTTTACCACCGCGGCAATAAATGAACACACGTCTAATGCTACTTGCCAATAATCATAAAAATATTAACGCTAAAAAAATCTATAATTAAAAAAAATATTTTTCATAAAAAAAATTAATAAAGTAAAAAAGAAACAAAATTTGTAACACCTATACAACTACAACAGACTTTTTCATTCGTTGCCACAGCGCCGCATTACAAGTCTCTCCTTCTAAGAGTATGTTTTGTCTCTTTTAAATTCATTCAACCCATTCATATGCTTTGTGACCTTTACAAATGAACTTTACGTTAAAGTTTTATACGTAAGGGTGTTCTAAAATTGTTTGTTTTGGAAAATTTGATAACTCGGTAAATATTGATTTTCAAAGAATGTAAATTAATACAATTTTAAAAAGTTAATTTCTATATGTGTGTTCATTTATTGTGGCGATGGTAAAGACACGATGTATAACCCATACACTAGAAAAACACTATGTTCATCACACAATATTTTTCCAGTATCGATTTTTCCGATTGGGGATCGAACCCACACCGTCTGGCGCAGGAGGCATGTACACTGCGCATTACGCCACTCGGGTCATCGTCATTTGTTTTTATGTATTCCACCTATAACTGTCACTTATCTATTCTATACTTCAGATACGTTTATATCGGAAGACATATCCTGATATATGTAATGAAATCCCTATATAATCTGTCTGTTGTAAAACATTTCATGGCTCGGATAATTGTAGGCTTGGCGACTCACCTTGAAGTCACCTCTCCGATTGATGACGGAAGGCCGCAAAGTTCTTCGCTCTCATCGGAAAGGTCAGCGCAATCTACCTTCTGTAAAATACAGTAACTGATCGTTAACTCTAATCGATGGAAACTTTCTATTATTTTCTCATTGTTTGATTATAAATAAAATGAGACTTAAAATTGGGAACATCCTTCTAAACTTTTATCCAAGAAAAGCATTTTCTCATTGATAGATTCTACATCAGTTGTGAGAACTTAAAAATCATCAGGGAGATCTCTAAAAAGTTCTTTTATTCAATACACATTACTCAATAATCTGTGTGTTTATGCGTACTTTATAATCTGACCTCAATTTATACTGTTAATCACCATTTGACCGTTCTCATCTCCGCAACTCAAATCATCAACTTCTAACGCAAACCTTTTTTTCAAATCCGAATAAACCCTACGCATTCAAACCTCCTCACACCCGAACCTCAACTAATATCCAACCCTCTTCTCAATCCGTTCCTCTGTCCTATACATAAGTTTCAACTCAATATGCGAATCACGTTTTCATTCGAATCTGTGTGAGCATTTATTTATTTATTTAAAAATTTATTGTTTACACCCCAAAATAAGGCCAAACAAATGGCAAACTTAATGCTAATAAGCATTCTCTTCCAGTCAACCCTGGGAGTTGTGAAAAATTTGACGTAGGTGCAAAACAAAATCCAAAATTCTATTTTGTAAAGATAAAATAACAGAGCATTCTATTTTTTTATGTGAGAATGTGGCAAGCGAGCCGGCGGTTCGCCTGATCTAAGTGACAACCGCCACCCGTGAACATTTGCACATTTGCAACACCCGTACGGTTGCGGGTGCGTTGCCACCTTATAATGAAGTTGGCCCCGGCTACCCTCATTAGACGAAACGCAGAAGTATGACACTTTCACTTCACGCCCTTCTTCCGTGAGGTCGTGGTACTTCCCCGGACCTGTCCATTCGTGCGACAGCCAAAGCACCACGTAAAAATCATACTTCCATCCTACACCCCTCATTCGGAGCACTCTCGACGCTCCTTCCACGTCATGTCTTCGTCCTTTTCAAATCGAAACCTATTTATTCGAAGTAAGGTTTTCCGAACCGTTTTTCGACGTCCTATAATTCGTCTTATAACATATATCTCCCACGCCGTGCTCGAGTATCGGAACACCAAGCCTCTTTGTCATTTAAATAATCATCTTACGTATAATAAATTTTAAATGAATAAATATTTTCGGACACATTTTTACACAACGTCTCTAGTCCTAAACTAAGCAACGCTTGTACTATGGGTACTAGATAACTGATAAACATACTTAAACATACTTTTCTTTTGTAAATGAATACATATTATACTTATTATACATTTGTTAACACCCAGACACATGTTCATCACACAAAATTTTTCCAATTGTGGGGATCGAGCCCACACCCTCTGCCGCATGAGGCAGATACACTACCCACTACGCCATTCGGGTCATCAATAATAGTAATAAGCTTTTTTAAAGTGCCTGCTTCACAATGGACTTTATCTCCAGCAAATTTATATCGACATAAGTTATTTTGTTGTAGTATCTATCCAAATCCAAATCCAGGATTTAGAGAATGGTTCCATATCTACGCTTTTTTATGTGAGAAAGTGGCAAACGAAGTGGCGATTCACCTGATATTAATTGGCAACCGCCGCCCATGGACATTTGCAACACCCGTAGGGTTGCAAATGCGTCGCCACCTTTCAATAAAGTGGGCCCCAGCTACCTCACTCGCCAGACGAAACGCAGAAGTGTAACTTCACGCTGGTCTTCTGTGTCGCGGTACTTATCCGGACGGACCTGCCCGTTCGTGCTCCCGTGAACACTGCTCCGTGGCCCTACAACGGTAACTGCACGGTAACGTCCGCAGTGATTACTCGTGACATCGTCAGGCGTTTTGTGGTTTTCCCAACGCTCCATCCGCATCGAAATCCGCCGTCACCACGTCCGCGGCCAACTCACCCCGTCGCAGTGCGAGCCGCCGTCCACGCAGGCGCCGTACGCGCACTGGAACAAGTGGGGCGGGCACACCATCGAACCGCACGCGCGCACCGACTCGTCCGAGCCGTCGGCGCAGTCCGCGGCGCCGTCGCACCGGCTGCCCGCCGCTATCAGCTCGCCGCTCTGGCAGATGAACTGCCCGCTGTGTATGCATACAGGGTGGCTTTTCTAAAGGTGCCCAAATTCACACGGGAGGTTCTGAATCGGTAGAATAATCGTTTATTGAAATAAAAAAAAAATAGTTAGCTAGTCCCTAAAAAACAGAACCTGTTGACAATGCTAGTCATTCATAAATGCTTCGTATAATTTTGAAACGAACTTGTACGCGTGTTAGTCATGAATTATCGCGCGTAAAATAAATGATTTTCCCATTGATTGAGATAAGTTAAAATAATTGTAATTAATTAATTAAGAGTGATTTTAAATATTTATCATTTTTATATAACATTATTTGTCTAGAATTAAATTAAAAAAATGTATACACTTAGAAAAGCTTCCCTGTATATACAGGGGAAAGTTTTTTAAAAGGTTGTCATCGAATCTGCAACCCTCGGGTGTAGCAGATGTCCATGGGCGACGGTGTTCACTAAACATCAGGTGAACCGCCTGCTCGCTTGTCAACTTTTAACATTAAAAAAAAACAGGGTGATTGTTTTGACGAAGAACATACTTCGACATAATGTTACTTGAGCATTTCATTATTCAAAAAAAATATTTTATTTCGACAAAAAATTGCTAGAAAAATATCAATTCAAACATTGTTTGTTTATGCCGTTAAGAGTGCCGTGGTCACCCTATTGATAAGCGGTTAAGTAATTATGCGATCGGCGAAAAGTTTTAGTGCTCGTGAATAGGTTATTGAGAGACGGTAAGGCAGGAATTTCTTAAGGTGTCCATAATGTTTGAAAAAATTAAAAATAATCATTGAAAGAAAAATGAGGTCAGAAGTACGTACCAGTTCAGATTTAGAATCAAATTCTGCATATGCTGTGTTAATATGTCCGTCGTCTATAAAATCACCCTGTATACATATATACTATACCTAGTTGCCTACTGTTTATATAAATAAAATTAAATAAAAGTAAAGAAGTGAAGTATACAGAGGGTATCGGGACATAGTCCACCACGTGGCCAAAAAACGGCTTTACAATATTTTTTGAACGATCTGTCAGTGCTTGAGTAAGACTCGTATAATTTCAAAAGAAAGGGGTGGAGGAATGCTTCAAGAGATGTGCCGCCAAATCCATTTTATTTTAATAGATAAATTGTCGCAAAATGTTGGCATTGTCAAGGATTCGAATGTCCATCATCTGAGACGAACCAGATGCTTTAATCAACTTGCCACGCAAGAGTCTTTGCTGTTGCACGGATGCAATGGATGCATCCGGGTAAGAACCCACTAGCTCACAGGAGACCTGCGTGAAGAGGAAGTGTTATACTTCTTTTTTGTCTGGTGAGTGAAGTAGCCGGTGCCAATGGGCGGCGGTTATCGCTTAACAGGTGAGCCGCCAGCCTGCCACCTTCTTACATAAAAAGAATCTCGCGGTGCTCACTCGATCTCGTCGATCTCGTATCTGCAACGCGGTATGAGCTCGTCGGAGGCATCTGCGCAATGGATGACGCCGTCGCAGGCAGCATGTCCAGGCGCGCAGGCCCCATATGCACAGCGGAACAGGTTCGACGGGCACCTTAGGGTAGACGCGGCACGGAGTTAGAGGGTTTACTAATCATCTACCCGACCACGGCGGGAAAAACGAGGGTTGTGTGTTTGACGTGTGGTTGAATTTGAAAATAACAATAAATTGATAACATCTTCCAAATATTCTAACCAGGATCAAAATGAATAAATGATTTCTATCTTACCTTAATTAAAAATGGGCTCCATCGTATATATATAAAAGTAAACAACCCTATCAACTTATGTATGTCACCACAATTTTATGACATCTTTCAGAGAAAGCCGTCAAAGCCTGGCAGCTTCTAGAAGGTGCGAGAAGTTTCTACATACCTCATGTTCCTGCAAAGAGCGTGACTCTCGTCGGAGCTGTCAGGGCAATTGGGGACGCCATCGCAAACGTCGTCGACGCTGATACAGTAACCGTCGCGGCACCGCCATTGTTCCTTGCTAGATAATTTAAGTAATAACATTTTATTTTTAATTTAACTTTATTCAGAAATGTGTTATGATTGAGACGATAGGTTATCTTGAACCAATATTGACTAAGATCTTCCATCTTCCATCGAATGAAAATCACCAAATTTTTATTTGAAGAAAGAGTCTACAACAAGCCAAGAATTGACAAAGAATACCATGACAGTCCCCTAGGTCCTGCGCCATTTCTCTTCGAGATGGTTTCTAAGTCGTATTGATCCAAAAAGGTCCCAGTGGCAGCTTGTAATGCATAAATGGACCGGCCGTTCGAAGACAACAACTGTTTCACCAACGAAATGGAGTGGTATTTGTAATTTTCCGTCCATCCCGTTAATAAATATTAGCAAGGCCCCAATGATTGTTTTTTTTTCTTTGGGAAGAACGTCAATTGAACTTTTAAAATATCCATTGCACCCTTTTTAGATGAAGCGTAGAAGTATATGGGCCGCGCAAATTTTAAACGCGTCTCAGAAGTTAGTGTAAGCCGTTGTATAGCAGACATTTTACGGGGAATTATATGTGGAATAATGGACAAGAAAATACTTTTGCTCTCTCGTTAACGTCTGTCTAAAAAGCTCTCCATATCGCTCAACTACCCGTTAATTGCTGAGAACAGTGTTATTCAATTTTGTGAATACAGATGTATCGATTTTTAAGTGAGTCATACATAAGCCACTCTGAGCCAATTTCACTCATCATCATCATCATATCAGCCTGTTTGAGTCCACTGCTGAACACAGGCTTCCCCCACAGACTGCCATGAAGCACGATCCTGACCAACTTTCATCCATCGACTCCCCGCACATTTGCACGGGTCGTCACTTCATCTAGTGGGGGTCGTCCCACACTGCGATGGCCAGTTCGAGGCCGCCACTCGAGTAAAGTAAGTAATTTCACTGGGCAATGTTCTAGTTTTTGCACAAATTATACAGATTGTTTGAAGATCATGTGTGATTGTTAAGCGGGCAGGCGGTTACAACTGGAGACAAGTGATAATCTCTGCCGGTGGCAATCAGCAATACCCGAGGTTGATAACCTTATAAAAAATGGACCAAGGTTTGTATTCAAGTCTCAATGACTACTGCGACCTAGAAGATGTATTGTACTATTCCGATCACATTATCCTTTTCTATAAGGACGTTTTACATACACAATTTCACGTTGACAAACACCCAGATCCGAAATGATTATTTGAGCCTAACACAAATATTTGTCTCGTGTCGGAATCGAACCCACGACCCCCGGCGCCGAAGCCAATAGCTTGGCACCTGCGCTACGGAGTCACCAATATCGATATATTATATACGCCCGTGGACATCTGCAACACCCAAAGGGTTGTATATGAGTTGACAACCTTCACTCACATGACGAAACCCGACATTTGGGAAACCTGTACAATAACTTTTAACTGTTATAAATACTTACGGGCAAACGTTGATGGACGTGATTTGTCTTCTCGTTCTTTTCAATTCCCCATTAATGTTGCCACTACTGTAAATAGAATAATGTTCTAGTTATACATTTTGAACGATAGACGGCGGTAAGGCGATGCCCGTCTTGTTGTGTTGCCCTTATTGTTAGACCGTCGCATGATTCTTATACTCCGACCATAATATATTATTATATTTGGATATATATTACAATATATTTTGTATATTTAAATTCTGCGCAGACATAATATGTCTGTGCAGAATATATTATATTATGTTGCGTTTTTTATACATGTTTTTGGATGTAAATAAAAAAATTTCAAATAAATTAAAAAAAATTGTCTCACGATGTAATACTATAAGTTGATGTATGCAAGATTGTTAATTTCATTGCTAATTATAGCTTTAGCATTTTAATTGCTATCACACCTTTTACCACAAATGAGAGCAATGAATAATTTGATTAAGTTTGCACTACACAATGTACGCAACAGTAAACTATTGTGTGTAAAAATGAATCTCGTTGGTGCTTTGTGTAAAGTAGTTGTATAAAACGTAATGTCTTAGCTAATACCGTTAAAGTTTTCAATGAACTTGTCACGTTAAAAAAGTGTCAGGTAGAAGGATCGATCATTTGTTGTCGCTGGCAACACTATACCGATATGGACGTTATCTATTCGAGCGAAGAGACACAGGGTCGCATTGAGCAGCGGTCACTTGCTTTTCGGCTGCGTTCCCGGACGGTAACATAACTGTTGTTGGTGGTGCGTGATGCTTATCGTTATAATAGTTGTTAATATACAAGTTCAGAAATAGTTAAAATATTAGAATCAAAGTAATAACGTTTGAACTCTTGTACGTGTAAAAAAGAGATTCAATAAATACCTTAAAGATATCGACGAATCGGATGTTGCGTCTGCCATGAGGAAAACGCCTGAAAGGAAGACATTTCAGCAATATTTTCAAAAGACCGAGGATGGTTCAAGTCAAGTCAAAATGTCTTTATTCAACATAGGCTTATTTTAAGCTCTTATTGAACATCAAAAACCACCACCGGTTAACTAAATTAGACCTGCAAGAGAAGAACCGACAAGAAACTCTGCGGTAATCTAAACAGATAAATAAAATTGGAGTGTCTGTTTGTAATATAAAAATAACCGCTTTTTACAAAATGCTTATGGATGTATACACGGTACATATACCAAAATAACATTTTTTACAATTATTGTCTGTCTGTCTGTCTGTTTGTTCCGGCTTATCTCTGAAACGGCTGGACCGATTTGGACGGGACTTTCACTAACAGACAACTGATGTAATAAGTAGTAACTTACTTTTATTTTAGATTTTTTTTTATTTTAAATTCTGACTATAACCTTGCTGTAGCACGAGGTTTGTCCGGTGAAGTACCACGACCTCACAAAAGAGCGGTGTGAAGTAGAAGACTTCCGCGTTTCGTCTGGTCAATGAGGTAACTGGAGTCCACTATATTGAAAACTGGCAACGCATCCGAAATCCTATGGGTGTTGCGAATGTCCATGTGCGGCGGTTGTCACTTAACATCATGTGAATGCCAGCTTACCACTTTCTCATATAAAAGAAAAAAAAGGCCAAAAATATTAACTTGAGTACTTTTGCACCTCGTTTAATTGCGTTTTCGACAAACATCAATCGGAGACTCCAAAATTTACATAATTTTTACGACAAGCCGCCTGCCTGACGTTAACTCTCTTTGGGAACTAACACCCTGATCTGAAACAATTATCAGTGGGTCGCAAAAATATTGGTTTCGTGTGGGAATCGAATTTATGACCCACGGCACCGAACCAATAGCTTAATAACTGCGCTCCCGAGTCATCAACTGCGGGATCCGTTAAAAATATGATTTTTATATTCTGTACCTTAGAGAAACTGACAGTAAATAATATCTCAATCGCAATGCAGAGACATTTGGTAAAACATTAAACAGCGATTGATTATAGTTCCTGAGTAATGACTTAATCAATTAACGGTAATTTTTAATGAACTGTTCAACAAAATGGCTGCATAATGATACGGACTAGCACCATACAATCCCAACAAAAGAAATAATGTTTTTTTCTTAATGCATACATAAATGTAACTACCTGTTAACCGCGGCTTCGCCCGCGCGGCCAAAGGGAATTAACAATGAGTTTTTTACACCAGAATATCTCGCAGATGCCTGAATTTTTCCCTACATAGTTGACAATTATCATTACCTATATTTTGCACAATTAACACAATATCTTTATAAATTATAGCCTATGTGTTATTCGGATGTATAAGCATACATATTATTGTAAAGATTCATTAAAATCTATTCTATTCAGTCGTTTATGCGTGAAAGAGTAAAAAACATCCATACAAACTTTTATATTAGTAAGGATTATAATATTTAGGATAATTAAAAACGAACTGCATCCGACCGAAATTACCAACTAAAAACTTATAAAAATTTAAGAAAACTCACCAAAATATAGGAGCGATACATTGAAGAATTTATTTAAACGCTTCATTTATAATCTGTTGCAAGCTTCAGTTAAAATTATTAATTTTAGAAATCTGAGGTCTCACATACAACTATCACAAGGTCTAATAGAATAAGACTAAAATTTTCTTTCTTCCAGTTTAATTACCTACTGTATTTCGAATATACACAGGCCTTGCACAATTTATATGTAGGGATACCAACACATAAAAATATTATTTCCCAACGCCAACCTGATGCATCACCAAAAACCACCCAAAACAAACTTAATTTTATATTTTTTGTCTTATAAATATATAAATAACATTTACACCGAATTTAGCCTTCAGTATTATTATTATTTATATATTATAACAGAATTTTAAGTTTAAATTTATAAAAGCAAACCTTTGTAAAATACAATATTTTGAAATTAACTAAATTTAACATTTTGTTAATTAAAAAATATCGTAATATAACCCCTAAAAATACCACAATGCAATTAATAATTGACAAATGCAAAACAAAGTCTCCATTCCACTAAAAAAAAAAAATAATCCCACAAGAACATTTGTGCACTATTACGCTTGTCACAAACACTTGCCTTCCTCTATTTGCTTCAATTATGCAATCCTTTTTATAATTTTATTTTATTTTTATTTTATTGAGCAACAAAATCCACAGCCTTTAGTTGTTTACATGTATATCAGATATTCTTAACTTACAGCCAAGAAAGGATTTACATTTTATAGGTAGAATATATATATACAATAATAATTGTGTGCGTGCGCGCGAGCGCGCGCGCGCGCGTGGTTGTGTGTGTTTGTGTGTATTAATTTGACTTTTCTTGTGTTAAAATTTGCAGTATATCCCTTTTGAATGCTATCTTGCTAATATGGAAAATATCAACTGAGCGAAATTTGTTGTTATATGTATGTTTTAAACGGTTTGCGATAGAATTTTGTTCATGCCTTGTTGATGATTTAGGGACAGCGAATAAAGCTGTATGTCTCGTTCTGTATTTTGGAGAACAAAAACAGAGGATCCTATCAGCTAAAGGTCCACAATCAATTGTTACATGACATGTACCATGCAGAAAAGTCATATCCAGTAATATGCGTCGTTCCTTCAGACTCATTATTTTGTAATGGGCACACGAGTCTTCATAGTTTTGCGCCTTTTTATTCTTATTATCTTTAAATTTTAAGTGCTTAAGAAACTTGTATTGAATTTTCTCTATGTCATTAATGTGAGTTATGAAATGTGGGTTCCATATAACACTACAGTACTCTAATATGCTTCTGACATATGCAAAGTAAAGTAGTTTAAAACAACTAATATCGGTAAAAGGCGAACTAACACGAAGGTTAAATCCAAGAATTTTATATGCAGAATTTATAACTCTTTGTAAATACTCGGAGAAACTTAACTAACAATCAAACAAAATACCCAAATCCATTACACATTCTTTTTTACTTATTATTAGCATTAATGGTTATATGATTTTCCTTATAATAAATATCAAGCCGTTCAAGATCTTCTTGAAATTTGACGCAATCTATGTGTATCTTTAATTTGCATAAATACTTTCGTAACATAAGAAACTTGGCATTTTTGAAACACTTACCTACATCGTATAAGTAAACTACATATAGAACAGGACCCAGGATAGAGCCTTGAGGTACACCGGATGTTATCTCAACAAAATCAGAACGAAAACCACCAATAATTACTGCCTGAGACCGTTTCCTAAGATATGATTCCATCCACCTTAGCAGATTTCCTCGGATCCCGAGTTCAAAGAGTTTTCGTATTAAGATAACGTGATCCACCCGATCAAAGGCTTTCTCAAGATCTGTATAGACTACATCCACTTGTGATCCTTCATCCATGTTCGTGGTGACATAATCTATAAATATGCCTAGGTTCGTTGTTGTTGAACGTCCTTTCACGAAGCCACGTTGTTCAGGAGGAATAGAAGGTAATATTATGGGGTAAACATACATATGTATAATTCTTTCTAAGAATTTACTTAGGATGTTGAGTATTGAAATAGGCCGGTAATTTTCAATTATAGTCTTGGGCCCTTTTTTGTGGATAGGAATTATATGGGCCTCTTTCCAAATAGTTGGTAGGTACCCATCACGAAGGCATCTGTTAAATAATAATGCAATGGGGAACGATAAGGACTCAGCACATTTTGTAAAAAATATAGGAGGCAATTTGTCATTACCAAGCCCTTTAGAAATGTCAAGCTTAATTATTAATTTGTTAATAACTTCTGTATTAATGCTAATATCATGAATTATATTCGTATTAGAAATAAAATTATCACCATATGTAATTAAATTTTTGTCGGTGGGCAAAGTAAAGTTACGTTTAAAGAAATCGTTAAATGCTGAACATATTAATGTTGGGTCGCTTAATTTTACCGTATTACCGTAGATCATTTCTTGGGGATAATTTGAAATACTCTGACGCTTAGGTTTTACATAACTCCAGAAGGCCTTTGGATTATATTTAATATTTCTTTGAGTACGTTCTAAGTAAGATTTATAACATTCTTCCTGTAGTCTCTTTTGCCTTTTTCGTAGTTCTGAGAAGTCTGCGTAATCGATTGGGTTTTTATGTTTTTTCCAATAAGTGTGTAGTTTACTTTTTTCTTTTATAACGTTAATTAAAGCTTTGCTGTACCAGACTGGATAAGAGTATTTTCTGCTATATCGGACTTTAGGAACAAACTTTTCAATTAATTTAATAATTATGGAGTAAAATTTTGTAACGATATTATCCAAATCTGTATCACTTGTAATAAAAGCCCAATCTTGTTTTAATAGACAGTCATTAATACTTGAGTAATCAGCCCTCTTGAATAGTAATCGCGTTTTACAACAGGGCCTAAAAGGACGTATGAAAATGTCCGTAGCGGAAATATACAAAGCAGGATGATATAAATCCTCTTTGACAAGAGAAAATTCAGACTTTTGCACGCTTACTGGGAATGTAGAAAGTATTAGGTCAAGCGGGTTATTGCAACTATTTAAAAGTGTATTATTTTGTGTGTGTGTGTGTGGCAGAGCCGTGATAGCTCAGTGTCCGGTCGCTCGCCTTTAATTCAATATACTCGAGCAACCTGAGTTCGATCCCCGGTGCCGGCACCAATGAAGTTTTTAACTTTAAGTGCTGAATTATTACGTGCTCCGCGGTGAAGGAAAACATCGTGAGGAAACCTGCATATTTTCGAAATAATAACAAAAAAAATATATATTTCGAAAATATGTGAAGTTCGCCAATCCGCAGTGGGGCCGCGTGGTGGACTATGCCCTGATACCCTCTGTATAGAGGAGGCCTTTGCCCAGCAGTGGGACATGTATTGGCTGTTACTTTACTTTTTACTTTTGTGTCAAACCTGCGTAGGAGCAATAAGACATAAGATCGCATGAAGCATTTTGAATATCGACAGATCTTTTTCTGCGTATAACAGGTTCACCTGAAGACCAGTCTATACAGGGTAGATTAAAATCACCAGCAATGTGATCGTTTGTATTTTTTTCGCGCACTGCTTTTAGCGTGTTAAGAAAATTCTCTATAGACGATGGTATATTATTATTTGGTGGTATATATACCGCAGCTAGATGTAAGTTATGAGAAAGGCCTATGTTATTACCGGAAATTGTCTCCATCGGTAATTCCAATCAGGTCTTACGCATGCTTGTAGATTTACATAGAAGCATAACACCACCTCCAAGCCTACCTCGATCTCTACGGAAAATTTTATATCTACTATTACATATTTCAGCATCTAAGATACCTTCGCATAACCAGGTCTCAGAAATCATAACTACGTCGATCTCGGACAGCAATAGGTTGTAATAGAAAATATTTGTTTTTGTCCGTAGCCCACGGACATTTTGATATATAAAAGTTAAGTTTTTATTGTCTTTATCCATTTCGTATGACGGTGCAATAATGTAACTTATGTACAAACACGTACATAACATATTAAAGACATTAAAACTAATAGAATAAATGTGAAATTACAAAATATCAATACGACACATAGCAACAACATGATATTAAAGGAAACTCGCCATTTAAAATAATCACTATAAATTAACGTAATATTAAACACATTTATATTAAATTTCAGCATTAATATTCCATACCTGCTTTTTATACATAGGTAATATATAAACAGAAGGAATCTACCGCTATACTTGAAACGAAAGTAAAGTAAATAGCGTATAAAGGATGCTATGTGAGTGTAAGGAGGTATAATTGCTTGCATTAAATAACAAATAATAATAATATAACCATTTTTCGATAAAATGACTAAGATAAATTAACGTATTACTAAACATGTTAAATTTCAGCAATAAGATTCCATACTTGCTTTTTATATATGGGTAGTATACATATAGAAGGAATATACTGCTATACTTGAAACGATAGTAATATAAGTAGTGTGTAAAGGATGTGTTATGTGAGTGTAAGTAAGTAAAATTGCTTGCGTTAAATAGAGAATAATAATAATATAAAACTTTTTTGATTTTATGATTTCTGTAACATTTTATGAAATCTTGATTAAATCGGCAGATGAGGAAATCGGAATAGGCGGTGAAACCTCGTCCTTTCGGACGTAGATACGACAGTTTTTTGTCCAAACATATCTGTAATTTACCTCTTTAGCCTTTTTTTTTTGCATAAATTCAAAAGGATTTTATTCTCTTTAGTGAGGTGCTCGCTTACAAAAATTCTTGTAGTTTCATTATCCATTCCCAAGTCCTTTGCATTGAGAGTACGATGCTTGCGACACGCTGCTATAATTCTATCCTTTGTACGGCGTTGTCTTAGGCGGACGATAATGGGGCGTGCGTAAGCCGCACTTACGGCTCGTCTCGGTTGAACCCGATGTGCGAACTCTATTTCAGATTGCTGGATAGGAGCGCCAACATACTGTGATAGTTTCAGCATGACTTGCACCGTGTCTTCCGCTTTACTTTCTGGAATTCCCGTTATCTCCACATTTTGCAATCGTGTCCACTGCTGCTGCCTCTGGCTTTCATCTTCCAGGGTCCTAATCCTTGCAGCTTGTGCATGCATAATGTATCTTTGAGTGCTTTATTTTCTTCCTTCATACATTTTAACTCTGTAGAAGTTGTTGTTCTTTACGAAGATCATCGTATTGATTACTAATGAATACCGATGTTTCTTGATATCCAGAACACTGTTTTTTATGGATTCAAGCTGTTCCGACAATTCCCTTAGGCTCGTTTGAATTACCGCTCTTATTTCTTGTCTTACTCTCTTCAAGACCTTCTTGAATTTCTCTTCGGATAAAGTCTCTAAATTTATTTCGGACTTTTTCCGAAGTGTCACATGACTATTATCTAGGTCAACAGGGGTTTTTTGGCATTTTACTTTTGCATTCAGTACATCTCCAATTACGTTTATTATCCTCATTGAGCGCTCTAAACCGCTGTGCAGATATATTAGCGCATTGAAGGTCATATTTCTGCTTGCAATCTTGGCAGATCATGTGCCTTTTATCGTTTATTAAGTTATTACAGGCTCTACAGATTTGTTTATCCATTTTGGTATAGTTTAAATAACAACTTATAATGTCGTTGCAGATAAAATATGCTAAGGAAAGTATGCTAATTTATTTCTCCAGGCGCTACAAAAAATTACCGAGCAAGAGTATATAGAACAACGTCATAGTGAGTCGGCTGCGAGTTGGGGTAGGTCAGGGAGATGAAGTTGTCAGAATTTTATAAATATAAAACGCTTCTTACTCTTCAGTTTTTGTATGTTTTGCTGCAGTAATAACACAGTCACAAAGTTCGCAATCCAGTGTTCACGCACTTATGCACTAATTAAATAATTTTGCACTTTGAATTAGTAAATCGAATTAAAACTGATAGTAAGACTTAAACAATGTTTACTCTCCAACTGCCCTCATTTTATAATATTCGACATATTGTATGAGAAAGTTGCGATGAACAAAATGTGTGAATGGATGCCGTCACCCAAATTCAAAGAATTAGTTATTTTTTAATAATAAAGAAAAGAATATTTCAAAATGAATACAACTATTAAGGAATTGTTTCTTTAATGTACAATTCAATTATCCAATATTTACAACATTAAATCTAGATAAATTACATATGACCTAATAAAACTAGTGTTACAATCCACTGGCAGCACTGCTTAATATAAGAGCAATAACAATTATACCTAAGAAACATCAAACCATATATTCTGGTAAAGTATTATATAATAAACCATGCTTAATAATAGTTGTATATCTTAATACGCCGAACTGAACAATACAGTTAATGTATTAGTAATTTAGAGTGCATTGATTTGAAGTGTAGTTGTAATGACTCATTTATTTTTGTATATAAGCGCAAAATGCTTCAGTGTTAGGGTAGAACTCTCTTATCCTTTGTATAGGTGGTTACACTGTCTTAAAAGGTAGGAAGTAGCCTAATTAATATATAATGTTATATAAAGTTGTTTATGCACTGTTTTATTTTGGCCAACCAACCAACAGTCTTTTATACTTGTCCACGCAGCATGGTGCCAAGAACGCTAGCTGCATTTTCTTCCTGAATAGTAGAATAGTTACGTTGCGATGCCGCCCCGGCCCTGACCGCAATACCCCTTAGATGAGAGGCAGCCAAAGTGTCTACACAAGTAGCATCCCAAACAAGCGACCAGAAGATACAGTTAAAATAAGAGGTTATAAATATATATACAAATGTAAAAGTAACAGCCTATACATGTCCCACTGCTGGGCAAAGGCCTCCTCTATACAGAGGGTATCAGGGCATAGTCCATCACGCGGCCCCACTGTGGATTGGCGGACTTCACATATTTTCGAAATACATTTTTTGTTATTATTTCGAAAATATGCAGGTTTCCTCACGATGTTTTCCTTCACCGCGGAGCACGTGATAATTTAGCAAAAGTTAAAAACTTCACTGATGCCGGCACCGGGGATCGAACTCAGGTTGCTCGAGTATATATTAAATTAAAGGCGAGCGCCTGGACACTGAGCTATGACGGCTCTTCAATATATATTCAAATGTACTTTATGGCTATTAGTAACATGGCACAGAACACTAATACTCTCAAGAGTGTGTAACAGGGTGTCTATCAATGGCGCGTCGATGAAGATCTTGAACACGTTCCGTTGTATGCAATTGAACCAAACGCTAATATTTACAACTAAACATCCAACATAACTATTATTTATGACAACCATAATAAAGTTGGTTTATAGAATATAATAACCTAATAAGTATTCTAAAAAGAGTTGATAATTATGATCTGTAACTAGTACTAAATCAATGTTGTACAAAATGAAAAAGGTCACTGTGTTTCTGAATATGAGTCTAAATAATTGCGTAAGTAATAACATAGGTATACAAAAAAGTATATATATATTTCTTATGTTTGTAAAGACCTTAATAATTAATGTATTTTATATATCATTTAAATTTAAATTGGTGCTAATAGCAATATAATATAACCCTGATGTGTCACTTTTATTGCAATTTGTCTGTAATACTTCTTTCTATATTTACTTGTTTAACATGGGCAAAGAAGTCAAACAATGATCTTGATGTATATCACAACCAGTTTTTCTCACTGTATTCTTTTAGCTTATTTAATTTGTGAAAACAACTCATACCCAAATTCCAAATTTGAATATTGAAATCCCATCTATGCTCTTTACCCAACTTGTCAATGAGGACACAACTTGAATATTATTTCCCATAAATTTCCAATTTTTTTTAATTTTGATTATTCAGTGATATGGTGACAAGGGCTCAAAAAAAATGCTGATCAAATAAAATAAAAAATTCTGCAGTGTCAGTGCTCTCCTTTGGCAGGGTCCCATATTCTGAAATGAAAAGAAATGTAATTCAATAATTTTCTATAATAGCATTCAGGGACATTTGTTACACATGGTCATCCGATACTAATATTGAACAGAGCTTGTACTATGGTAACTTATAACTGAAATACATGATTATATTGCTTTTATAGATATTTACACTGACTGAATAAGTATAAATATTCATGACTTTCAGACAAAAAACTTAACAGAAATTTGACCTTGCTGGTAATCGAATCCACAACCAGCAGCATAGTAGTCAGGACCAACAAGCTCTTCAATTATCGGCCATGAAACCAAGTGCCACATCAACTGAATTGTATTTGTATTTCTGCGTTGAAGAGGTGGAGTAGTAAGTCTTACTTTCTCCAGGATAACATTATCCTATGTTGTAAGGATTCTTTAGTTCAGTTTGCTTGTATAGGATGCTTTAGAGAAAAGACTATGAAGTAAAGTTTGAGCACCACTGCTTTAGATTAGATGTAGGTACTATGATTTAGATAGATGTAGGTAGGCTAACGGCTAAGGAATGGAACAACCTGCCAGCGTCGGTCTTCCCATCCGATTATAACGTCTAAGACGCCTCTTCAAGGTAAGAGTGAATAGGGTTTTACTGAGCTAGCCCGCTTACCATCCACGACTGGATCGCTACTTACCATCAGGTGGGATGGCAGTCAAGCGCTAGTCAGTTCCATATTTAAAAAAAAAACAATGTTATACTACGTAAGTAGTGTGTACGTATAAGTCTAATCTAATAATCTAATACAATTATATAAATAAGGTTTATAAAATAACAGCATTCATGCATAATGAATGTGATGGCAATGGAGGTGCTATCTAATCCATTATACTAGTAAATGGACCTAACTTCATGACAGTAACTTTGAACACTTTCAATAATACAAAATTTAACTGATGTACAATTTACTCCTTCAATTTTGCACCTTAATTACTACTTTTATTCTTTAAGCACTACTTACTATTAGGTCTTTTCAATGAAAAGACAGTATCTATTCTAGCTTTATTAATATTAAAGCTATATACATTTTAAACACTATATAGTCAAAATTTATACAAAAAATGTTGTGTTTAATGCTGTTAAAAAAAACTGCTTTATCTACTATGAGAAGAAAGAAAGAAAGAACATAATACACAAACCTCACTGTTTAAGTATTATATATTTTCTTGCAAATATCAGTTTTTCAGATTGGAGGTCAGTCGAAGTAGATGTTGTTTGCTCGTCAGTAATTACTACTTTAACGGAGGTCGGTGTCTGCATGGCTGAAATTAATAATGGCAATTTAAACAAATATCAATGCATTATGATAAAAGCTACTTTACTCCTGAAAATTTTTACATTTTTTTTTAATAAATGGTCCTTTTCTATATCCCTGACAAAGTGTATGCAGTTTCATGGTGATTGATTGATTAGTTAAGATTTGAAAGACAATATAAAGACAAAAGACAAATGGTAAAACCCAATTGAAGCATCACTGCCAGGTCAAATTGTGAATACAGTGTAAACTCTATAATATAACAACATATAAGGGACTGCATTTTTTGATGTTGTAGACAGCTGTTGTAAAATGGAAAAAAAAGAAATATTGATATTATGTTGCTATTGTTATATTTATTTACTTATATAATGCAAATTTGACAAAAATTAATATGTATTTTAATTTTGTTATGCTGTAGTTCTTGGTACTAGTTTTGTCAATTTATAAAGTACTGTTAATGCTTAATATTGCCATACTGTTTAAATTATTTTGCGAGTGTGATGTTATATATCATTGTATAGATAACAGGGTAAACCAAACAATCTCAAATAATTTAATAATGCTTTAAAGAGTTTGTCATAGCCATGATAGCTCAGTGTCCGGGCGCTCGCCTTTAATTCAATATACTTGAGCAACCCAAGTGCGATCCCTGGTGCAGACACCAATGAAATTGTTAATTTTCAGTGCTGAATTATCACTTGCTCAGTGGTGAATGAAAACATTGGTAGGAAACCTGCATATTTTCGAAATAATAATAAAAAAAAATATATTTCGATGATATGTGAAGTCCGCCGTGTGGCTGCATGGTGGACTATGCCCTGAACCCTCTATACAGAGGAGGCCTTTGCCCTGCAGTGGGACTTATATAAGCTGATACTTTAATACTTTTAAAGAGTTAGTTTTTAAATTGAGTGTGATTATAATAGTTTACACTGTATATACCATCGAATAACAACACACGAAACTATGTTATTTAAGGAGGTCTTGCTCAACATCGAGCGATTGAGACAACTCATGAACTAGATTCAGATCACAGGCCCGTCCCGTGTTTAAACTGGGCCAGAATGCAGGCGCGGTCCCTCCGACCAAATCCGTAGTGGACTGGCATCGTCTTGAGGTCAAACTCAAGACCTTGGACTCCCAGGACATAGTCAACCTACCCGAGACGATATCTACGTTTGATGACGCAAATCGAGCGATAGCAAGTCTCCGCGAAACGATCACATCCGCAGTCGCAGATTCGGAACGGACGGTGAAACTTTCGGGCGACCGACGGTTTAACTTTCCGCCCGACCTAACGGAGGTGGCCCGCGTAATCGAGATTAGGGTTGCACTGCCACCGGAAGTTGATCCTTTAAATTCAGTGACCGCTCTTCGGTCCAAGACATTATTAAAAATTTAAAACCCAAATCCGCCCCGGGCCCAGACAATATTAGTAATAAAATTCTTAAAGCTCTCTCTGGGCCGCTTATCTGTTTACTGGCGACCATTTACAACACATTACTCTCCAGTTGCTCCTTTCCGTACGACTGGAAAGAAGCCACGGTTATCGGCATTCGCAAGCCGAATAAATCAGCCCTCTAGCTATCGTTCCATCAGCCTCCTCAGTTGCCTGGGGAAGCTCTATGAGCGGCTCCTATTAAACAGGCTCAAAGAGCACGTATTTTCCAACGGCCTTCTGCCGGCGGAACAATTCGGCTTTCGAGCTGGACATTCCTGTCCCGACCCGTTCTGAAAGGCTTAAATCATCCGAAACATGGGGCACGGGGCACGGGGTCTCTTTTCTTCGATGTCACAAAGGCATTCGCGGCCTAATAGAGCCGCGTTCGTCTCCGTCGGCCCTTAAGGCAAAAATTATTATTATATAAGACCTGCGTACGACTATTATGTCATACGCATGCATGACCTTCGCCCACACGCACCCTACTCGCTTGTACAAGTTTCAAATAGCTTATGCTTATTTTGTAATAAGTTCATCCGGCACGAAACCGGTGCGCAGTGGTACTATCAACGCAACGTCGACCTGCAAAGCGATTGCAGACTCCCTACGATTCGCGAATATTTTAAAGATCTGACCAAACGGTTCTTCGATAGAGATACCACAACCCTCTGGTACCTGGTAAGCGTAGCAAATTACCAACCCGACACATACGCCAACGTCAACAAGCGTCGCCCGCGAAATGTCCTCATCGACCCGGTCGAATAAGGGGACTTAGATACGTCGGACCCACCGTCGGGGCTCCCGCCGGTAACACTACACCCACAGGTACTTTAACAACAAACAAAGTAGTTCGCCCTCGCCTCCGAGCACGGCAAGGCTAACCCAACGCGTACAGAAGGTACACCCGCGTTCCATGGTGGTTCTCACCGCCCCCAGCCACCGAATAGCTAAAAACACGTCGACGGCCATCGGGGTCCCGGTCCGAACCGCAACCTAGATGGCCCTTAAACGACATACCATAGTTAAACGCACGCATGAATACATGCACGGCCCTACCCACAGCGGAGGGCCCAAACCCGTGGGTTCTGGCTAGCCACCGGTTCTGCGTCAGATGAAGCTTTAATAGTCTCGGGACTGAAAGCAAAACATCCGAAAGTTAACAAAAAACACACACAATAAATTTCATCAACATATAAAATATATCTATATAAAATGAACTTTACCTGGCATCTGCAGTTCTGGGGTTGCCAATCTGCACAGTCGGTTCTTTGTATAATGATATATGCTTTTGAAGTGCTTGTGGCAAACTCGTTTCTTTTTGCGGATAGTATCATTATCAAATTGCAGTACATCAAGCCCTACATTGGAGACCCAAGTTTGAAATCTCACAGCATCAGTATCTGGATTGGGGAAGCAGTGTAAAGGCACACCTGTAAACATAAGCAATGTCAATTACATAAACAGACAAAATTATTTTACTGGTTTTGTAATAGTTTTGTACTTGAACAGAACAGATTTGTACTTAAATCATCAAATCACAAAAACCTTTAAAATACATTTAAAAATCTTGAGTCAGTTTTGTTGAATAAATCCTATATATTTTCCATGCCCATTTTATAGTGACACTGTTTTCATTATCAAATTAAACATTATTTACAAAACTAAAATACAATATATTAAGTTCTTTATTATGCACATACTATTTGTTCAGATATGATATAATTAATAAGAAGTATTCTATTAATTAGAAAGAAGTACCCTGATAAAGCAATTATGAATGTTAGAAATCATTTCAACAACCGCTTCGCAGGAATATGTTAGGACACTTTAGTAAATTTAATAAGTAAATCCTAGGACTAGCTTTTAATTATAGAACACATAAGAATGTATATGATAATATAATATTGGGCCCTTTAATGTAGGGGTTAGAGACCCTGAATAATACACAGCTAATTGTCCCTAAGGGCAAAAATGGTGGTCCTACACAACAGTTTCACTGTTCCATGGATGGAGGTCTGATCTCATAGCAAGCTTTATATACCCACTTTTTTAAAAGAGGGCAATGCATCAGCAACCCTATGTTGTTGCAAATGTCAATGGGCGGCGGTCATCACTTAAGATCAGATGAACTGCCAGCTGTTGCTATCTTCTCACATAAAAAAAAGCATTTTTGGGTTTGAACGTGTTAATTTCTTTAAAAAAATATGTATGGATATCAAAAGTCTGCATAATTTGGGATCAGATGACCGTGTGTGAAGAATGTACCAAAATATTATTATTAATTTAAACACTTTCAAGTTGTAAAATTACCATCTTTACTGGTCACTAGGCACCCAGGTACACAGCACGAGTTTTGGGTCATGATGGAAACTAATAATTCACCAGTCTATTACAATTATTGGTCCCAACTTACATCCTTACAAAACGGAAGGGAAGTAGAAATGCTAAAAAAGTAAATTAAGAAGATTCACGGGAACACGAAAGATAAATGCTCTACGTGACGGCAGTAAACTACATGCTAGATTTGGCTTACGTTAATTTAAGATTTACGTAGTATTAACTGATTGAACGGATGCTAAACTCAATGTGTATATCAAGTAAAACAGAAAATTAATAACCGGTCTCCGATGTCACAATAAAATTGAAATTTCTGCAAGTGCATTGCATGCGAATTTTGAAACAAAATAACTGTCAAATACAAATGAAGACATTATTTTTTTTCATTGTATAAAGGCCCTGGACTTGCATCCTTTAGCCCTATCATTAATTTTTTAACCATATGAATAGAGCAACTACCCTTCATTTTAAAAGTTTTATAAACAACAAGTTGCCTTACTCTAAAACAAGAAATTAAGCATTTTGTAATAGAAATTAAAGAATACCCCATACATAACTAAACCTCCCCGTAAATTCGATTTAAGGAGAACTGTAGAGCTAGAGTCTAAAGTTATGAATGGTGAGTTGAAAAAAAATGCATCGCGCATTTTATTTTCAGAAGACATCCTTGCTTCTAATAATGATGAAACTCTAGAAAACCTCTGTCTAAAGCATCCATCGATCAATCTTCCGCGGTATAACGCTAAAACATCTGAAAGATCTTGTAAGCGCTTCCGCCGGTGATGCTGGCAAAGCGCTTCTTAATGATATTACAAAATTACGCTACGGAAAAGCATTAACTTTCCGGAAAAGTAAATTTTAAATTTGTTCCTTTCTTGTACGGGGCAAGATTATGTGCCTTTAAGAAAAAAGATAATGGTATCCAACCTATTGCTATTGGTTCTATCTTTCGACGCTTAACTTCAAAATTAGCAGGTAGGCACAATCTCCGGCCTTAAAACAAAATTCCAGCCTGTTCAACTAGGCTTTGAAAGCAAAGGTGGCTCTGAAGCGGCTGTACATTCCATTCGAACTTCTTTAAATACCAGTGATTTGGATGTATTTCTGAAGGTTGACCTTAGGAATGCTTTTAACTCCATTGATAGAACTACTCTGCTGAACGAAGTGGCTAATCAGAAAAAAAACCAGAAAGTGGCCATCAGAAATATTACAGTGAAAAGAGTAATTTATGTAATGAAGACAATATTATTTCTGATTCTGCTGTCGGCGTTCAGCAGAGAGATCTGCTAGGACCAGCATTATTTAGTTTGGGAATTCATCCAGTTATTTCAAAATTGAAATCTAAACCTAATGTCTTTTACCTAGATGATGGTACGCTGGGAGGTAAAGTTGACGATGTACAAAGTGATCTTATCGAAATTATTAGACAATTTAACAATATCGGTCTCGATTTAAATAATTCCAACTGTGAACTTTTCTTTTCCGAAAAGATTTCTTTTTCGACAAAATTATTTTGACTCATAATTTTAGTCTATCATACCAGGAATTAACGTAGTCCATTCAGATTCACTTTAGCTCTTAGGTGCTCCTTTATTAATACTAAGTTTGGAACTCAAAAGTTAAATCAATTTTTAGATCATGTTAACAAATTGTTTTTACTAAATTTGTATATTGCGCTTAGTATTTTACGACATTGTATTCTTGTACCTCCTCCACTCGAGTCCAGTTTGGAAATGCGGTGACTAGGGATGCCAAAAAAATTTCCTATAACGATATTTTTTTAAATATATATCGATATTTATGGCCGATAAGTTTTGATCCGATATATCGATATAAAAAATTTAATATCGTATAAAAAACGATATATTTATTCAAATTGATTGAAAGCCGTAAAAGATAAAGATGAACGGAAAAAAACTGTAGTCTATTACTAGGATTGTCGCGGATGCAGAGTTACATTTTGTATTATAATTAGGGTATTTATACTACAATTTGATGATTCGTACTTTATACTATCCATATCTTATGTACTACATGGTATAGAGGAGTTAAAAATCATTAATATTTAACTACATATTATTATGTTAATGTATAAGTAGCATGCAAAATGTTAATGGCATCAAGTAAAGTTACTTTAATTTAATATGTAAGTAAAGTTAACAAAAATTTAATTATAATCAAATTCTCAATGATTAAATGTCACATAATATTATATGGAGATTTCGTTAAAAAAAATTGACGTCATAAAAATTATTATCATTTAACCACATAAGTAAATTCTTTAAATTGTCGTTCAGCATTTTCATGACAATCAAACAATTATTACTAAATTCTGTTGATCTAGGCCTGTCTTTTAGGTCACACAAGGCAGAGACTTGTTCTTGACAAAGTTTTTTTTGACCCATTATTAACTTCGTTTTAAACAATTCTTTATATTTTTTTACAAAGTTACATGTGTTTTAATTTGTTATTTTTTTATTCGATTCAGGGATCTTACTAAATAAGCTGTTTGTTTTTTTGCCAATGAAGGTCTTGATAAATATCATACCTAGAAATTTAGATTAATCAAATATTTTTTGGTTAATATTAATAAATAATTAAGGTTTTATTAATATTTCTCACTCGTTTAAATAATGTGAATTTGGTATAAAAATTACTATTATTTGAATACATTGAATCAGACTTAACTGAATACATTATTTTTTTAAAACTGAAAATTTTACCGATATATCGATATTTTTTTCGATATATCTTGGCCGATAATATCGATATTTTTTAGAGTTTCGGCATCCCTAGTGGTGACTTTTTAAACGAAATTGATTTTCTCATCATAAATCAGCTCTATAAAACATTCTAAATTTATCTCTTAATGAATTAAGCTGGACTCAAGCTACGCGGCCAATTCGTTTTGGTGGTATTGGTGTAAGGAAAATTTCTAGTGACGCTCTACCTTTCTTGCTTACTTCCGTCCATAGCGTAAATAATTTATAGAATAATAAATATCCTTAATCACAATTCAGAACTTTCCTATGTGTATCCCACTGGAAGTAAACCTACAAAAACAGTAGGATGTTCCTTTGGTGTGGAGAGTACAGAAAGATACGTTGCAACCTTTATAATTTAGAGCATGCCTGTTTCCCAGGCGTCTCATCTAAAAAATCAAGTTATTGGCTTTACTATTTACCATCTAGTAACTTGGGTACATTACTTGACGATGAAAGCTTACGCATTGCAATAGGAATCCATCTAGGGGCACCGATTTGTCAACCACACTAAAACTAATGCCCTTGTGGTGTTTTGTTCTCCACGGGCTTAATTGTCAAAAAAGTGCTAGCCGCTTTTCCCGTCACTTCTTTTCTCAACGACATCGTCCGTAGGGCTCTTGTTTCCATCAATGTTCCATTTATTTTAGAGCCCTAGGGTAAGAGACCCGACGGTTCAACTTTGAATCCTTGGGAGGAAGGCAAAAAGAGAGTAGATTGTAGAGGAAAAAAATATAAAAAATCTTAGGAGGAGTATGAAATTCCCACATTTATAGTTTACATAAAAAGTAAAAAGTAAAGTAACAGCCTATACATGTCCCAGCAGTGGGACATGTATAGGCTGTTACTTTACTCTTGGCTGGCAAAGGCCTCCTCTATACTGAGGATATAAGGGTATAGACTTCACATATCTTCGAAAATATATTTTTTTGTTATTATTTCGAAAATATGCAGGTTTCTTCACGATGTTTTCCTTCACCGTGGAGCACGTGATAAGTCAGCACTTAAAGTTAAAAACTTCATTGGTGCCGGCACCGGGATCGAACACAGGTTGCTCGATATATTGAATTAAAGGCGAGCGCCCAGACACTGAGCTATCACGGCTCTGTTATAAATAGTTTACATATATCGATATAATAACTGATACATCGGTCAAATTTTCGGCTTTAAAAAATAATGTATTTAATTTAGTCTGATTCAATAATAAGTTATAGTAATTTTATATCACAATTCAATTATTTTTTACAGTTATCATTATTTTAATGTATAATTTTTTTTAATAAAACGAAGGTACGTTAATCATTTTTTAATTATTTTTTATAAAACATTGCCCTCACTTTAGGATAACATTATCCTGTGTTGTAAGGACGTTTTACAAACATAAATTGGACGCGGACGAACACCCAGATATGAAACAACTAGCTGTGGGTCTCACAAATAGTTGTCCCGTGTGGGAATCGAACCAACAACCACGACGCCGAAGCCAATACCTTTGCAACTGCGCCACGGAGTCATCAAATTATTTATTAATTGTTATCAAACTTCTAAATACCGTATATTATTGACCAAGACCTTCATTGGAAAAAACAAACAGCATACATAGTAAGACTCAGTTTCTTTAGCTCTGAATCGAATAAAAAAAAACTAATAAAAAGCAAGTAACGTTTTAAAAAAACATAATGAATTGTTTAAATCAAAGTTAAACAAAAAGGAACCTGCAGAGACTTGTCTTAGAAGACACGCCTAGATGAATAGTTGTTTAAGACATGAAAATGCTGAACGACAATTTAAAAAAGTTTCGTATGTTTGGTTATGATTAAAGTTACTTATGTTTTTTTCATTTATTTAAATATTAAAGTAAAGTAATTTTAGTTGATACGTTGATAAATTTGTTAAACATGTAGTTCAATATTAATGACTTGTTATATCTCTATACCATGTTATACCTTAGATATGGATAATTTATAGTACAAAGCGTGAAATTGTAGTAAAAATACCATATGTACAAATCCAACACTGCATCCGTGACAGTCATAGACAAAATGTTTTTTCCGTTCGTTTTTAACTTTTACGGCTGAATTATATTTGATTATAAATTTTGTTTTTTATGAGATTTCGATATTCATTTTTTTATATTGATTTATCGATATATCGGACCAGAACATATCGGCTAAAAATATCGATATATTAAAAAAAATCGCTACATGGAGATTTTTTCGGCATCCCTATTCCTTTCTTTACCAAAAAGTACTTCTGTAGTTCG